TAAAATTATGACATATATTTGCAACTTTAAATTGTTACAACTTATTGCGACATAAAACATATAGCAAATTTCATTGCAAATTTACCATGAAGACATTTATTGCTATATGTGTTGTATTATTGCAACAATAATTATGCAGAAAAATGGTTGTATAATTGCGACGTTTTAGTGCAACTATAAATTGTCATAAAGAAAAGCTACGTAGAATATAAAAAAATAATGTTGCAAATTTGTAGTAATTATTTTTTCATATGTAGTCGTTGCACATATTTTATGACATGATGGAATAAGAAAATGTTGCAAAAATTTCACTACAATTTATATTCGTCGCATTTTTACGACAAATATATAGGCATAATTTCATTGCATATTTTTTTTATTGCAATTCTTTTTGCAACATTAATTATAGAAACTATATTATGTTTTTTCGGCACATAAATTATTAATTTATAAATATTTATTTAATATATATTCTCATAATAATAATAAAAATAACTTATTTTATTTAAATAATCAAATAATTATTCCAGCAATGCATAAATTTAAAACCAGTAGAAAAACCAACGATCCTTAAAAATTAAAATCCATGATAAAAACTTAATAAGCATAAATAAAACAACTAAGTAAGCACTTAGTTGTTAGCACGAGCAGTGGATAGATGAGGGATCAATATGTGGATCATTTTCTCCAACCATTCGAGCTTGTTGATCCTCTCTTTGATTTCCTCATTCTCTTGATAAATCTCCTCTAATTTTTGTTTAAAAACCTCCTCATTTTCCACATGATTTTCAAAGATAGTTGACACTCCACCCTTAACGAAGAGTTCACTGAAAAGAGCTCCTAGACCAAACACACGACCATTTGTTGCCTCCAGTCTTTTCTTTCTATAAAATATAAACAAAAACATTATAGTAAACATTATAGTAAACATTATAGTCAATACTAAACAAAAGCTTATAAAAATTAACAACAAAAACTGTATCGCTAATAAGATTCTATGACAAAATTGTGTTTTACCTTTGGAGAAGGAATGTTTCTTGTGAACGTACTATATTGATAAAAGTAACTAAGTATATATAAGAAAAAGTAAAAAAATAATCGTATCTTTGATACTGAATAATTTTGGATTTAGCCAAATCTTCTAAATATTATCAAAAAGAAAACACAAGCGGGAAAAGGTAGGGAATATTCTTCTATTTCCCTCGTAAACCAAATGAAAACTTAAAATTATTAAGAGATTATATTTTGGAATTGTGTAGTTATCCAAATGATATAAACTAGTGTATAAAATGATAATAAAAAAAGAAGAAGTTTAAAACGAGAAAGGGTCATGGGTGATTTATAGTCAACATATGTATACTTTTTTTGGCTTATTCAAATGATTTAGTCGTTTAAATAACCGTTTGCTAACATACATATGTGACTCTTTTGACTTATCTACGTATGTTAAGATATGTGTATATAAATGCATACATACATATATATATATATATAATTTTGTGAAGTAGTAATTTATTCTGATTGTCCCATATGGCTATTTGAATCTAAGAGAGTAATCGGCTCATATCTCGAGCCTAGAATCGAATTCCTTTTTTTTTTTGAATCTTAGGCTTAGGATTACCATAGTTTGTGGAATAGTTGTGTTAGGATTTGAATACGTTTCGTGAGTTTTAGCTTAAGTCATCTGTATCATTAAAAAAAGTAGACTACATGTAACTTTAATATTTCTTTCAAAGAATCGTCTCTCGAGTCTAATTCTGTGGGACGTACGTCTCTAGTCAATGGTCTTGTTTGTTTAAAAATACAACATTGAAAAAAAAAACTACTATATTATAAAGTATATAGTGACAAACTTGTGAAGTAATCAAAATAAACCAAAACCAGTAATCAAAGTATATAGTCAATGGTATTATATATATCGTTTATATTGCAATAGAGTAATAAATGTTGTAAATACTATGGCAAAATTGTCACATAATTTGTCACATATATTTACTATAATTTTGTTGAAAAATAGCCACGGTTTATAATCGTTGAATATTTCTTACAAATTTTGCAAGACTTTTTTATATGTCGTAAAAATATAGCTAATTTGTGATGAAAAATTGCAACTTAAACTTTTGTAGTTAATTAGCAATAAATATGTAAGAAAAGTGCAACATTGCATTTATAATTGCAAAAATATGGCAAAACTTGTTACAAAATTTTGACGAATACGATCATTGCAAAATTATGTTGCAATATCACTATTTTCTTGTAGTGGAAGATATCCAACGTAAACGTCTTAATACATAATGATCTCTACATATATGTATTGTGATCCGGGTATTTATTGGTTGCACCATAAGACATCTATTAAAATGTGAAATGCAACCGGAGCTTCTAGCTTTGGTTGTAAAGGATCCTCAGCTGAGATATCTGCTATCATGAGTTCGAGCTCCGGCCACTACAATATTCACATACGGGCTGCAACATTCTAGAAGTCGATACGTAGAGTGCCATTTGGCAGCTCACGTGGCTAGTCCAATCGCAAGCGTTGAGATACCTGGATTATAAGAAAATTAAAAAAAAATAGAAAAATGTGAAATGCAAATTACCGATCATAAATACTAATTTGCTAATTAAAGGGTTATTTTCCTAATTATAGAGTATAACAGACTTCAATATAAATTCATTGTTTAAGGAATTAGGTGAAATGTAGATGTTCTTGTTTGCGAAAATTATTGAACTAACTTTTAAGAAAACAAATTTATATTCAAAAAAATAAGTAACAAGTCTCTATTTAAATTAGGAAGAAAAAAAAAAGCAATGAGTAGCACCATGGAAATGAGCTTAATGCCCTTTTGTGGAAACTAAACGTCTCTGTCTCGATTGAGATATCCCCAAATATGACATGCAACCAAACCTTTGGAGTTTTAGGGAAATTGTTTTGTTACAGAAAAAAAATATCTTCATCGAACAATATCATTATTTTTTATTTAAACAAGATGTCACGTTTTAAACTACTTAACTATAAATATAAAAAATAATGCAATAGTATAATATACGTTGATAATGCACCAAATGTATTTTGTTGCCATTACTAAATTAAGGAGCACATAGTTGTAGTAAGTAGGGATTAGTTGAGATGATAAATTTGATTAAAACAATTAAGCAAAGTGATGTGACTTAAATTAAACATTAGCACTTTCCTATGACTGTTCGTTTTTAAGTATAAAATCAAATAGAAGAGTCCAAATAATGCTACACAAGACTTAGTTTTAGTAAAATATATACATAATCTTAACCTTACACCAAGTAAAATTACAGAAACATAAGAATATCAATTTCGAAAACGAAAAATAAATAAATAAATATATGTGCATAATTATATGTATCGAACTTTGGTTATAGGATATGTATATATCTCTCTTCTTCTTACGACAGAAAAGACAGAAAAAAAAATATATAAAAAGAAACTAAAGAAGAAAAGAAAAATTTAAAAACATATATATAGAATCAACCAAAAAACAAATTCACTATAAAAATAAAATTATGGGATAAATAAATGTGATGAGAAACGAAGAAGACTAGTGAAAATCTCCAAAGTCTCTAACGGAGAAAGAAGAAGTGTTGTTGTTGTTATCAGGAATATTGCCAGAGTGGCGTAGACCAAGCGTAAGAGACACGTCACCAGGCTGTTTGGTCCCAAATCTTATGACATTAGCAGCACCATCGATGACGTGGAAGTCACTGACGACGACGTCTTGCTGATGACACGTGGTGACGGTGAAGGCGTCCGAGCAGCCGTGAGAAGCGGCGGCGACGATGGAAGGGAGGAATGAAGGGTCGTTATCGTGATGTGTCGATGTCATCGTCGTTGGAGTTTGTGTGGTTATGACATGAGTAGTGAAGTTGTTTTCATTGTTGGGTTTCGTGTCGTTGTTGTTGTTGTTGTTGTTTGTTTGTTGCTGTCTTCTTTGTTGTTCGTTTTTATTTTCATTTTCATTTGCTTCTTCTTCTTCTCTTTCTTTTGCTTCTTGTTGATACATCTCTTCTACCATTGGTTTCCATAGTCGAACCCTAGCATTTATGAACCAATTTGACACCTGCAAAAACAAAAATAGACCAAGATTAATCATAATTTCCAAAGTTTTAACAAGTTTAAATATAGTATTTTAAGATGTTTTAATTGTTTTTTAGAAGAAAAAAAAATTATAATTATGGATATATATGTGGAAAAATTTAACACTCCTTCCTTTTACCTGAAAAATGTTTAGTTTTTCTAGACAATATTTTATGTTTCATATATAAGTAGTAGTGTTTTCAAGAACAACACATTTACACATACAATTAAACAAAATTTACATAATCTTAGTCATGCATCATTAAGGAAATTATGAGAAATAAAAAATAATATATGTGTTAATAATATTTTGTATTTTTTTATAAAGACTGTAGTGATAATTTAAACATGCAAATTATCACTTAATAGAGATAAACCACATTGACAAAAAAGAAGAAGAAATAAACCACATTTTGTTTACTAAAACTTGACTTAAAATGATATGAATGCAGTACAAATTATATAACCATCGAATAAATTTCTCAAACGTATATTATAATTATGCAAAAAGGTTAACCTTTGAATTTTCTTTTTACTAATTTGATTTGAGGATATAAAAAAAAAATCTTATAGGATTATAAATTTTAATCAGAAAAAATATCAAAACATAATTTTTGAAAGGAAATATAATGCATACATCATCCAAAATGTATTAAATTTGGGATGTACATATATAATCAATGTTTACAAGACTTTGAGGTTCTAGTAGTTCTAATTGAAATAAAAGCTTCAAACTTTCATGTACTTTTAAATATACTATGACTGTCTTTGAGTCATTGAGTCTTTACATCTCTTGTTTGTGTGTGTGTGTGTGAGTAAGTGAGTGTTATGATGTATTAATAAATGCGAAAAAACAAAAACGAACCCCCAAGAAAAGAAAAAAAATCTGATTTATTTCATCATATACAAAACCCCATGCAAAAGAATAGACATGAGACATGAGACCACACACTCATGTCAGATTTTTTTTTTTTATGCATGATGAAATGATTGATATATATGGTAAATTGTGTTTTAAGGTACAACATGTAAATAAGTATTATGATTCATTATCATGAAAACACATTTATAATTATAAATATAATACATGCATGTATGTAACTAGGAATCTAGATAGATAGATTTTAAAAAAGGCTGACCTGATTTCTGGATAAACCAGTCTGTCGTGCTAAGAGATGCTTATCAGCATCGCTTGGGTACCTGAGAAAGAGACCAGAAAATGACTTCACAATCTTTTATAACCCTAAACTCAATAATTCGTATTATTATTTTCCTATATCTATCTATACTCTATAGAGAGATGAGATAAGAGCAAGAAAAAAAAAACACAATCAAGTAGATGCAAGAAAAGGTACAAACTTTTTCTTCTTACAATGGCGTGAGAATCTAAAAGGGAGACAAAAGATAAAGCTGATTACAGGAATTTGAAGCAATTTCTCAATTTTCATTTTATTTTCACTACTATGTACAACTATTCTCTTCTTTACTTCACTAACAACAAAATAGTAAAATTTCTGCAGACATTAAATAGAGAAAGTACTGATGAATAATGAAAGAAGAAATTACTTTTTTCAGCTTTTAGTTTTTTTTTTCTTTCTTTCTTAAGAGACAATATACCAATGACACTGTACCACTGACAAATCTGAGAGCTATTTTTTGTAATTATGTTAATGGAAAATATTACTTCTTTTGATAATAGAATGTATGGAAGAAAAAAAAGTTTAAAACAAATTAAAGAAGAAAAAAAAAAACTGTAAAGAAAGGGTTTAGACAGAGACAGAGATGATCCCAAAGCATAAAAGTTTGTGATCTCTCACTCTGAAAACTTCTTTTGTTCCATTAATTATTTTAATCCCCTTTGCCATGCAAACCCAACTTATACTTATATAAATATATACACCAAAAACACACACAATTTTCTTGAAAATCCCAAGGTCAAAACATTGTTAATTTGGACTATTCCCACACAAAAAAAATCGAGAAGATTCAATTTCTTGAGAAATAAAAATCATTGAAATTGAAATATTCTTCCCGCAAAGCCAAACTCAGTATGAAAAAAAAAAAAAATTGTCACTTTCATAACTTAATTTAATAAACATATTATGAGTGAAAGTCTTGATATCAATTATGTATATAGTGGTAGTCTATAGTATTTTATAATATACAGTCAAACATTCAAGAAGATTAAATTATATTTTATAGTAACAAAGAATAAGAGAGTAGGTAAAGTATTATTGCGTTTAAGGGATGAGATAAAAATGAACTTACGGATTTAGAAAATGTTCGAAAAGCCAAGCTCTAAGGATATTAACGGAGCGTTCAGGCAAACCACGTTGCGGTCTCCATGCCTCTTGCTCCATCATACCCATATGATGAAACGCTCTTTGCTGACGCAAACTCTGCTCTAGCAAACGCAACCGCGGCGTTTCGCCTTTGGTTAGGCCAGAGGATGCAGCTCCTGCTCCTTCTTTGTCCCCTAGAAGCTCACAGCTGCGTTTAAGCTGAGCCGCGACCGCGTCTTTTAAGCAACGGAAGTGCCTAGACATTGCCTTTTGAGCTAATGTCGTGTAAGGAACCGCTGCACCGTAACCCATTACTTGGTCGAATGAGTTCACTACCATTTGCATTTGTTCGCAATAATGGTTGTACCGTCGGTCCACCTACAAAATCAAGATTTTATAAAAATGAAATGTTTAGTTTGTTTATATTAATTATCTCATATTTTCCAAGATACAATACAAACCTTAAGAGACTATTTCGTTACGACAATATTATATCCTAGTAACAATTTATGGTGTCATTAATAATTAGAACATAAAAGTGAAATTATAATCTTGAGATAATTAGATAATGTCAACGACAAAATGGTATTGTAAGATAAATAAATGAAGTAACTTCAAGGACTAGTTTTGGTTACGTAGTGAAGGTAGCTTATATGGAGAAGGGAAGTCTCTAATTATTTAAATTTTTGTGGTTGAAGACTAAATCACTTAAACTAATCATAATTTAATTTCTTATGTTAAATTTTTGATTAAGCAATGCCACCAAACGCATGACACAAAATTATGAATTAATATATATCAAATCAAACTGTAACACCAGTATAATGATATTAGTTAGAAAAATTATATAAGTGATGGTAGGATTGCGTAATCAGGCTTTACCAACTAGAGCATGTGTCGTGCTCTTGTACCAGTCGGTCTTTCTCAATACATTAAAAAATTTTTATGAAAATAGAGTTTATGAAATATTGGTAGATTCAAAATTAATTGTAGAATTTGAAAAATGAAAAATAAAAATCACGAAGAAAAAAATTCAATATTGTAGTTATTGATATGAAATTGGTTTATTTGATCAATTCAATCATTAGAATGGTTCATTAAAAGAAAAATTAATTAGTTTGGTTAGAGAAAAATAAATGTGAAAACGTTACCTCTTCAAGCATAGACAATAGCTTGACCTTTCTTCTTTGATGTTCTATCCGATCAGCCGGAGATATTGGAGGACTATCATTGGCTGTCCCGGCGGAAGACGACGAACCTCCACCTCCGCCGCCACCTCCTCCTCCACCTGTAGTATTAGGGTTTGAGTTGTTCCTACTAAGTTTGTTCTTCTTGATATGTCCTCTTCCAACACTACAAAACTCTTCCAACAATTCTTGAGCCGGTTTGGTGTATTTCGAATTCCTCAACGTATAGATCCCTCCAATGGAGGAAGAAGCAGCCATGGGAGATGATGAGGATGAACCAAAATGTCCCACGACTTGATGATGATGATGATGAGAAGAAGAAGAGTTGTCAAGAAGAAGGTTCTTGAATTGGTTGTACTGATGATGATGAGCCGATGCGTTAGAAGAAGAAGAAGTTCCATCGACGGCTGCACAATAAATGCTTCTATATTCCTCGGCTTTAGCTGCGGCTAATGAAGATGAGAGAGATAAAGACAAACCCTTCCCGCCTTCCACGTGTACGGTCCCGATCATATCTCGGTTTTGTTGTTGATGATGATGATCGGATGAAGATGGCCATGTGAAGTGTTGTTGTTGTTGTTCTTGTATAGTGTTTTCGTCGGTGAAAGCAAAACCTTGTTGTTGATGATGGTTTGGTAATAACATATGAAGAGTTGAGCTATTGTTGTTGTTGTGACGGTTTTGTTGCTCTAGCAATTGCTTAGTACTAGACTGATCAAGAATCTCTCCACTAGAGCCACCACCACCGCCACCGCCGGGATAAGCAAACATTTCAGACAACATCCCGGCTGATGACTCATAAACCAGAATCTGAGCAGCACCGGAGACAGCAGATTCATCTACTTCCTCTTGATGAGTAGTTGATGATGATCTGTGGAATCCATTAGAAAAGGAAAAGATTCCTTGGTGATGATGATGGTGATGATAATCTTGTGACATAGAAGAAGAAGAATCTAAATCCTGATGATGAAGAAGAGTTGTAGTAGTAGTAGTAGTAACTAAACCCATATCAATTCTTGATTCTTGTAATTACTCTTCATTATATATCTCTTTCTCTCCAAAGCTCTTGGATCGATCCTGTAAGGATTCAGACAAAACACAAAGAATCTTATAAAAACACAAAAAAAAATCAAGAAAAAGAAAGAGAGAGAGAGAGAGAGAGGAGCTAGTCAACTAGGTATTATATATACAGTTTTAGTTTCTTCTACAATCTCTTTCTTGTAACTCTTTTTAAGGTTTTCACTTTCAGCTTCGGTCATCATCTACATATATGGTAATATTAGATAAAGAGAGATAGAGAGGAGAAGTTATAACAAACCTTGGAGTTGCAGAGAAGCTTATAGCTATCGTTTTCTCTTCTATATAGCTTTCTTTGTCTTAGGCTTCTTTCTTCTTTTATATTTTATATATATCTTCTTTTGCTCTCTTGTGAGTGTGAGAGTTTTGTGTTTCAGCAAATTCTTGAAAACCAAATATAAAAAAAAAAATCTTCTTCAAAGGAAGAGAGAGAGAGAAGAAGAAGAAGAAGAAGAAGAGGTCGCTGTTCTTTCTTCGTTGCCTCCCTTTTTAACCCACCAATCTTCTTTATTATTATTTTGTTATATCATATTTTTTCTTATAACATTTTTTTTTTTTAAATATCAATAACGATGAAGAAGAAAGACAAAACTTATATATGTAGAGAACTTGATTTACGAAACTGTCCTTGTTTATTTTTATTTTTATTTTGTCAACGATATATTAATTTTATAAATATGCTTTGAAAAATAAAAGTATTTTTAACTTTTTATCACGGAAATGTCGGCTGATATTAACATTTTAAAGGCGTTAATTTGGAAACTTTTTTTGTTTTTAAAGCAAAAAAAAAGAATACAAAAGATAAGGTGAGAGTCCAAGGTCATATCTCAATGACCCAAACCACCACCATAAATACTTCCACATATTTTTCTGCTTAAATAATATTCTCATTTTCCCAAAAATAAACATACTAATATTCACATTTTGGATCAAATATATATATATATATATATATTTATTTACTATAATATATTCCAACAATGCCTACTGTTCAGTTGGTTAGGGTCAACTATGTCATTTTAGACTATTTTTTTTTTTTTACGTAACTATTTCAATCAGCATATGTATATAGTTCATGCTACTATTTTTAAATGCAGAGCTAAAATTCCAATATATTTGATTATCAAGTAATAAATTTGGTAAGGGTATTACCATTCTATGGACATAAAAGATAAAAAAAATTAACTAAATAACCATAGTTTTGTTTTTAATTAGTTCTCTCTTCTATTGGTGTAAAATAGACCAAAATAGCTTTATAAGGGTTAACAATTTTTTTAGCAGTATAACAAAATAGATATCGATAAATTATATGTTTGTTTCTTTTTACTTTAACTGTATAATTTAACATGATAACAAATTGTTTAACATGATAATGATAAGTCTACCATAAAAATTGTAGTGTCTTTGTTCATTACTGTTATTGTTATCTTTACCATATTGTCTAACCCAATTTTGATAGAGTAATTATATTTTCATCTTATCATAATTAGCGGTATATAATATCATTTAACATGTTATTCCTATTGTTGGTATTCATGATTATATAGTAGGGGTTAATATAAAATTCATAATATTTTGTATGTGATATAGTAAATAAGTTAACAGGGTAAATATAAATTTATCACATAAATTATAACATATCACGATACAATATAATTTAACACGATATATTTATTAAGTTATTGATATATTTTTTGTTATCATGGTATTCAATAGTTATTCATCCAACTTCACATATTTTTAATTATATATTTGATGAATAATATTGTCGATACTTATTTCATTATCTCGATAAATCATTTGTTGGATACAGAAGGGTATTTTTGTCATTATAAACAAATGAAGAAAGAGAACTAATTAATAAAAAAGTGATGATAGATTCTTAATTTTTATTTATCTACGGTATATACTTTTAAAGCACCCATTTGGTAACTGGTTGCTAATTGTATTAAGAAAATTGAAATATAACTTATGGTGCAATCTAGTATCCTTATTTAAATTTTTTTTTGTCACATAATATTCCAAACTCAATTCAATATTCCTCATGCTTTCTACCTTCACCACTTGCTGGCAAATGAGCAAATCACTATTAGAGGAATAGTGCAAGTAAAATTTATTCAACCGAAAAACCTTATTTACAATACATATAACTTTAAATTACATTTTTATGCATATACTTATTTTACCTCACTATTAAATGATGTAGACCAATCATAAATTGCCAATATGTTTTGGGTTTTATGAGACTTGTTTTTTGTTTTAGTTTTTGGTGATTCGTTCACGAACACAAACTTATAAGTCTAACATTAGCTATGAATTATACATTGTAGTAACAGTTTATAGAAACAAAAACACAATTATTTTATGTTTAAATTATGTTAATTTTATATATACAACAAACACAAAGAGTATTATAGATATATTTCCATAATTGATTTGACGTGCGTATCCATCTCACAAACAGTTAGAAACATCTTGGATATGTATGTGATATGTAGGTTATAAATCCACAATGGGATAAATAATTAATTGAAGGCTCGAAAGCAAAAAAGTGAAAAGCCCACTTGTATATATATATATCTATGGAGAGACTTATGTTGGAATCTATCATGTAAGAATCAGATACCAAATCAATGATTTCTTAGCACCAATAATATGATTGAAATTGTACTTACTTAAATCTAAATTTATTCAACTGGTTCCTCAAGAATATTATTTTTAGCTAAATACTCCATAACTTTGTGTATTGAGTTGCCTACCTATATAAAAAAAAGGTTAAGTATTGCCTAAATCAGTTCTGTTTTAGTTTATTTCCACCAATTTCTATATATGCATACATAAGTATATATTTTTGTTACTATTTAAACCATACCGCACTTTTACGCATAATTTTTTTCGCACATTACCATTCAAAGTTTATATCTTTAGAATTCGATACATTGCAAACGAAACAAAAATTTGCTATAGTTTTATTGATTTTACATTTCCTTAAAATAGCAGAAAATTAAAAACAGAGAAACAAAAAGAAAGAAGTTTACATAAAAATTCTTCAAATAAAAAAACTTTATGATTTTAATCTTTTTATATATCTTTTTTTTTAAGATATCTTTGTTCTAACTGCAAATGAGATTGACGGTTGACAGCCCAACCTTCTTCACTCCTACCAGTATCTTTCTCTTTTCGTATATATTATTTACGTTTTTGTAGTAACTAAAATACATTTTTTGTTTTTGTTTATGAAAACAAAATAGTTTTTGGTCGGGTGAATCTCTCACGTGAATCCCATCTCCTTAGAGAGAACTCACTCACACGTATGCACAACCATCAATCACGTGTGGAACCTCCTTTTTTGCATGTGTGGTTGTGTCTTTTATCCTCCTCCTTTACGCATTTAATAGGTAAGTAAACCTCAAAACATGTACAATGCATCCTCTGGTTTTGTATATAGTCTCTTCAATGGTGGTTGCAACATCTAATATCTCTTTGTATGTATCTTCATCCACACGTTACTCTCCTATCCTATCATCCTCACATTCATTAGCTAGTCTTTTCGATATTCGATATAACAATGACCATGAGTCCATGAATCTTTATAAGTTGAAGATCTTATAAGATACCTTTAGATTTCACACCTTTAAATAACATTTTGAGTTATTGTTATATTTGGGTTTAGTTGAGTACTTGAGTTATAAAAAACACCTTTAGAACCTATAAGACACCTTTAGATTTCACACGTTTGTGTTTGGTTCTGTTCGTTTTTATACTAATTTGCACTTGTTCAATTTCATTCTTCTTAGGATCTTTCGTTTCACTCACAACTTTTTTGTTTGTTTGTTCAACACTCACAACTATTTAAAGACATATAAAACCAAATAATCGGTATTACTGAATTAAGCTATATAGATACTTGATTGGAGTAATTAAGATCCTCGTATCAAATGTTACTGAATGGGGAAATTTTGTAGATTCATGATATAATAAAATTTGTTAGAAAGTTAGAGTCACTTGTTCACGTATGGTTGTTAATATAGACAAACATATACTTACACGTCTCTCGTAGATCATTAAAAGCTCTTTAACATGCCATGTGTATCCTTATATAGAAACTCTCAAGTTCACAAGGACAAAGGCATTGAATAATTAAACTACAAATATGTTATCATCATATCAATAGTAGTCCTATTCATTAGTACTTGTTGTTAGTGTTCATCATCATCCAAACTAATAAAGCCTCTTGTTTCTTTGTCGAAAATAACCATTTCAAATTTTATCCATATACTGAATAAATTACATCAAAACATAGGTTTTATGGCACGATGAAATTATAAGTCTAGATTAAAAGTTTTTTCGTTATTATAAAAAAAAACAACTCTGGCTTTATTATAATTATCATTCAAATGTATAAGCCCTAACCCTCTTTTTTGAACCTACGCAATGCATGTTAGCAACTTTTAAAGAACCAAAAATTCAAAACTGAAAATTTTAATCCAAGGCTGCATTGAAAAATGAAAAGCAAAAAGAGAAAACAAAAAAAAAGTTAAAAGAAGTGAAATGATAATACGGGCAGCATAACGAACTCTTGTCCGAGGAATCTCTATGTCACTCTCTCTTTCTCTTGGTTTACTTCTGTCTCCTTGTTTTTATGTTTTGCCTTTAACATGAATGAATTGGACAACTTACATGAATAAACGATTGAAAACCAAATGATTGAATGACAATTAAATTTACATATCTTGAGAAAGTCCATGTTAATGAGACACTGATCATGTTATACGTTGTTGTTAGTTTGACATAAACATATTTTATTGATATTTGATACATACGTAACCTGCATCCATAATTGATATATATAATCTAGAGTTCCCAAGATTTGTTTAGGGCTTATTTGCTAGGTAGCCAAATCGTTGGTTAGAAGTGGCAATAGAAATGAAAGCATTGTAGAACCCATAAATAAGTGATATGTTTTTGTAAATGTGATTAAAACAAATATCCTAATTTTTTTTTATTTTTTTTTTGTAAATGTGATTAAAACAAAAATCATGTTATCATGTAAAATAACGTGTAAGCGGATAAATCGATTTAATTTGTTTTAAAACACAAGAAAAAATCGGACTAAATATATAATTTTATTTATTTATTTACGATTTTTTCATCCTGTCAATTTCTACAAATAGAAAATGTAAAATTCGATTGTATAATGCCTATTGGCCCTATTTGTTTATTTTTAAGACTTGTAGATGGCCACTATTTGTTTTCGTCTATAAATTTCATATAACCATACATAAAACTATTTTTAGATGCAATGAACTCCATAAAGGAGTAGGACTAGCCACAACATTTGTTTAACAATTTTGTGTGTGACATCAGGTTTTCGAAATGCTGATGTGATGTTAAAACACTCATACGCATTGTTTCGGGAATTGGTAGGACTTTCTCAAATTGATACTTATATATAAATATATAGCTTTTTGAATCAATTTGATGAAATGTAAAATGTTGTATATTAGATGATTATACAAAGCAACTAACTTTGATTTTAAACTAATGGGTGAGTGATATTTATTGTACCACAAACATAAAAAGGACTAATGAAAATGGAGGCGATGGTCCCTTCTTATTCCACTTTTTGGTTCATTCGGTGTCAATCAAATTGTTCCTTTCTTCTTTATTTATTTCTCTGATCTCCTTTTCTTGGCTCTTTGATAGATACTTCAAAAAAAAGTTTGTATAATATTTTATCTTCTTCTTTTTCAATGGAGGAGATCGATGGGTTTTTCTTGAATTCTTTAAAACATTTATACACTAGATATAAAAATATTTAGTTTAAAAATTGTATAGCTTTGGTGTTGGTGTTAGATGCTTTTGTTTTGTTTTATTCCCGCCTTTTAAGTACACTCATTTTTGCAACTTAAGAGAGTGCTTTGTATAGTGGTGTGACCACAAGCTCACTTACATGTCTTTGGTTTGCGCATTTCTTTGTGTATCAATACTTATATATATATATATATATATATATATATATATATATTATATATATATATATATATATGTGCTGTGCCATTTGTGCATGGAAAGTTTCAAAATCTAGGCATGACATGCTTTCTAAATTTGTTTACTAAATATCTTCTTGTCTTGTTGTCCTTTCAAGATTGGAATAGCTTTAGACCATTCTAGGTTATATAGTTTAGAGATTTTGATTCTTAATTCTTCATTAAAAATTGTATAATTGTGTCATTGTGTGTGCAAAACACCACTTCGACATCTATATAGCTAATCATTGTGCGTTTCTTACACGATATTTTTGTGGTTGAACTTGACTGTGTTGATTATAAATGTTATTACTATGTCTCTGTCAATATTTAAAATAGATGGTTCAAAGGTATATATATATATAGCTATTAAGAAAGGGTCCATATATATCTCTATATGTATAAAGATGTGCAACTTTGACTTTGAATATATATCTCAGATCTAAACTGGTTAATTCAGGCCTTTCACATCCTTAGGAGTTAGGACCATGCATATAAGATATACGTAAAACACAGCCAATGAGTAGCGGAAAAAAAAACCCATAAAATTGGGCATTTTCACATAATGAATTGTTTAACTATTATGCAATGTGAACATTTTTAACTGTCATTTTAAATATTTCAAAACAAAGTATACAAGAGGAAGATTTGGTATTTTATGTAGATCGATGGTACGTAAAATGATGTGAAAACATAAAATACAACTCGATTATTAAAGAATATGCAAAATCAAAAAACTAATCATATTACAAAGGGAGAAGATTATATAACCTAAAGAGGCTATAATTAAGCTTCAATATGTGATATAAGTGGACAAAAAAAATCGATGGCATAGAGAAACACAATTGTATATCAATCCAAAGGGAAAAATAAATTATGATATGACGGGAACTTGCAAGGTAAAAGTTTGTATTAGAGACATTAACATGTTAGATAGTAAGGTATAAGTATCTAACATGAGTGTTCATAAAAGACAAAACATGTATTAAATATTTACAAAAACCACAACGATTAGTTAGAATTTAGACCTCAAATCCGATCCTCAAAAGCAAAACAAATTCTAGTGGTAGAAACTAAGTATAGCTCACACAAAGATTAGTTCATCCTCAAAATGTGAGCTATACTTAGTTTCTACCACTAAATTTTTTACTTAGATAAGAGAAATTTAGAAACCATATTTATATTTTTTGCTCTCTCTTTCACCCCATTCCAGAAAAGCAATATATAAAAGTAGTGAAATAAAATAAAAACCCTAAAACAAACAATAATGGTCCTAAAATACATGAGATATTTTTAAGAAACACTTCTCAAAATTAAAAATATCGAGGCTCCACAATTCCAAAAAAAGGAAAAAAAAAATCATTCTATCATGTTTTTTGCTTATAGAGACTAATATATTTATATCATTTCCTTAACAGTCACCATAATTTATATAACATAATTGCTTTTAGTAATATTATTTACAAGAAGAGGTAGACCGTAGACGCGAGATAGACACCTTTGTGTAGACAATGAAATGTATGATTGAAACAAACAAAATAAAAAATATATACTTTTATTTACTAATTGCTCAAATTTGGTGAAAATTATATATTTTTCAGCCAAATGGTAATTTTTTCGACGTATCTAGAGAAGATTTGAACCGTAACAAAAAATTATATATTTTTTCTAATCGTAATTCTTAATATTAAATCAGATAATCTGATACATAAAATACGTATCAAACTGCTATTAAATTTATATATAAACAATGTTATTTAGAACTAGTTATTTTGAGTCGATTATTGATTGAAAGAAATACAATACCATTTTCTCATTTATGTTTGATATTCAAAGAAAAAAAAAATCATAATACATATATTTAAGAAATTAAAAAAAAAAAAAACGCCGTGTGTGTTATGTAATGTGTTTTATGTGGATGACTGACTCGTTGCTTGCTCATATCTTATCAAACAAATAGTGGTCCTCTTTTTTATATACAAAACACACACAAAACACAACAAAACTCAATATTTATTATAGTCCACGTGGCAAATTCAGGCAAAGGATGGTCATGGCCACGTGGGATTTTGTGGTCCATGTCGGAATCAACGTGTCTTAAAGTGCCACGTGTATTACTGCCCCAAACGCGACAGCCTGTGTTCGTTCTTCTTTCTTCTTCTATCACCACCATTCACCACCAAGCTTCCAACTTCATCTATTTTCCTTCTTTGGTCCAAAAATAAAAAAAAAACAATAACGAGAAGATTAAAAAAATAAATAATAACGATTAGATATTTTTAAAGTATATTGTATTTGGGTTTTTTTTTTATCAGATAACTAAATTGGGATCTATTTTTTTTAAGTGGAAAAATAATTATTTATAATATCATTTTATAGAAAATAACATGTTATTTATTAAAAATAATTTTTGAAATATATGTTCTTTTAGAAAAAATAAAATGATTTATTTTAATACTTTTACTAGTCATTTTGTAAATAAAAGGTATAATTTGGTTGTATAATGCATTTTCTCTTCATATTTAATTCTTTTTCCGAAAATTAAAATCTTTCAATTCTAAATACAGCATAATTTTTTCTAGCAAACCAATTATACAAACTATGATTAATTATAGAAGAAAGAGTTTTAAAAAGATGTTGAATCTTCTAATCATTACCATCCCGATGCAATACTTATTAGTCTTATCTAATAATTTTATAGTACTCGGTATTTTTAAAACATACAAAACCTAATACACCTTTCATGCATATGGAAAGAAATGTCTATGGTAAAATCGTTTATGTGACCGTTCTCATAATTTGTAATAACTAATAAATCTAAATATTAAAAAAAAAATCTTTCTCATATTTGCAGTTTTGTTCAGCCACATTTCTAACAATCAGATTACATACAACCACATTTGTTATTTTTTTGGTCAAACACAACTATCACAACTAAATAATTGACAGCCTGAACCAATCAACATTTTTTGAGACTAAATTCAACACCACAACATAACCATTCTTGTATACAAAAAAGGTCTTGTGGTTCATTTTAATGGGTCTTTGAGCCCAAACTATAATGGGCCTTAAACTTAGTACGATGATTCTACTTCCCAATTCTGCGCAGCCGCCAAGATCTTAGACAAAGACAGAACAACTTCATCCATCGATGGACGACTCATATGATCTTTCTTCAAACAATCCACCACCAACTTAACAACAAAACTCACTAATCCTTCAGGTAACAATCTTCCACGACTCAAAATCTCTTCAATCGCGTTACCTTCATCGATCTCTTTCTTCAGTTCAGAAGCTTCTTTACCAGTACCAATCTCCAACAACACAACTCCAAAAGCATACACATCAAGCTTAGTTGAAACCAACCCATGTTCCAAATACTCAGGAGCTAAGTACCCTCTTGTTCCTTCCACGTGTTTTGTCAACACGAAATCCTCCGTTGTTGATCTTGCTGAACCTAAATTACCAATCTTTCCTCGAAACTCGATGTCGAGGAACACATTGTTGCTGTTCAAATCCCTGTGAACGTAAGGAGGATCAGCGAAGTTGTGTAGATAGTTTAGCCCTGTTGCTATATCTAAACCTATTTGTAGCTTCTGAGTCAAGCTTAACAACGATTTCGTCGTGTGAATCCAATCGCTTAAGCATCCGTTTGAAGCGTGTTCGTAGACTAAGTACCAGTCTCCTTCATGGAAACAGAATCCAGAGAGACGTATGATGTTAAGATGGTTTAGTTTCGATAACAAGTTGATTTCTTCAGAAGCGTTTCCTTCTATTTTCTTGATCATTGCGCCGTCTCCATTGATTTTTCCGATGTAACCTGATTCTCCGGTCGAGCTAGACGATGTGAAATCACTCGTCGCTGACTGTAGTTCATGAAATTTGTAAACTTTCAATGATTCCACCACCATCCCTGATAAACCATCTAGCGGATCGAATTCTTGATTGGACATCCGCGGTTTCTTGGCCGTGAAGCTATCGAGATTTCCCGTTTCCTCTTGCGGTTTCGGTTTCTTTTTGACCAAACAGAAAATGGTGGCACTAATAACAACCAAAATCAATGCTCCTCCTAAAACTCCGGCAAGAACAGAGACCCATGTTTTCTTCGATTTCCCACCATTCGGCGACAATGGAGGAGAAACCGATTGAGGCGGAGGAGGAGGAGGAGGAGGAGGAATGAGAGAAGAGTTGGGAACTGAAGGAGGGTTCTGTAATGGAACCAGAATTGTGGTGAAAGGGAAAACTTCAGAGTTCTCAAACGACATTTGGTTAGCTTCTAAAGTTTTACTCGTCTCAACTCCAAATCTATCACTGATGATCTCAACGGTGTCTCCGAAAACAACAGTATAGCTCATCAGATACTTCAAACCATCTTCATTGACCTGTTTAGCCGTAGGACAAGCGCAACGGATTGGAACAACGATCTTCATACCAGGAATAAGAGATTGAGATGAAACATTGTTCTGTTTCTCCAAAGCTTGACAAGTCGAAAGCCCTTGAAGAGTGTTGTTAGCAATAACGAAATACGAATCGTTTTGCTGGATTGTATAGTTGAGATTGGCTTGTGAATTGTCCTTGAAACAAGAACAAGTTAAAGGGATGATGATTTGTTGACCAGAACGGAAGGTGGTTGAAGCTGAGGCGGCATTGAGGGAGGAGACGAGAGATGGGTTGACGGAGAAGAGCGAAGAGATGGAGGAGACGGTGGAGAAAGGAGGAGTGGATCGGAAAATGACGTAGGCTTGGCAAGTTTTGTTGAGACCGTTACAAGAGTAGCCGAGAACAGAGGTGGAGTTGTCGGAAACAGAGCAATCGGTTGTCGATACACCGACATAAGGCTGTTGCGCGGTTGCGAAAGAGGAGAGACATAAGAAGAAGAAGAAGAGGAGATGAAGTGGAAACGAGATCATCGTTGTGACGACTCTGCAAGATTTGGTTGCCACGTTTGTTAGTTGGGTTTATAGGAAGAAGAAAAAAAAGTCAACTGTTTCAGGAAATGTCAAAATGAACAAAAAGTGGGAATTGGTCTCTTTATTTGATTGAATGATTGGAGTAGATAACTTATTATATGATTTATATTTCAACCCATTGATTTTGTTTTTGTTTTATGTGATTCATAATCATAAGGCATTGAAGCCGCCAAAGACGACATGAGAAGATGACACAAAGGGTTTAGCCTTTTTTTCATCTCGTCTGGTTTTCAATTCCGACAGTAACTAATCAATACTGTCTCGTTCCTTATAATCTTAGTGATGCAGACATATGTTGACTAAATAAGTCGGTCCAAAGCATAGTACGAGCCAACCAATACCGACACAAAACTTAAGTCCTAAAAATGAGTTGTATTCAGTTATGTTCATATAAGTGTCTATAATAGATTGGTCCTTTCTTGATTCTCACTACGACCCAACATTTTTATACCACCAAAGCATGAGGGACTCATAATATTCAATGAACATTGTTGTCTGCATCGTGTCACACAGAAGAAGACATACATTATACGAGTTATTCGAGTATATTAGTGAATAACTATGATTGACAATAACAGAAGATGGTTAAGGTATTTGAGACTAGGTTCAGGTTCAGGCGAGAAGAGTGAGTGATGCTTCTCAGCCAGATTGAGGTTAGTAAAAACAGATTGAGGTTAATAGATACGAGGAACAACACGATTAACAAGAGTGATTCTATAATCTCAGCCAGGCTCAGTCTCAGCAATCCACTTTGAAAACAAACTCACTCGAACGAGCTTGTGTTCGCACATGAATACTCACGACATTAAAGCAACACACATAGTTTTACCCTGATAAAATAAAGTTGTTGTAACAAACAACTAAGCTGAGCTGACACTACCAACAAATCATTCCTAGATCAAGCACTTACCAAGTCTTCTGAATCAATGATTTAGACCTTCGATTCTAGCTTTTCAGTGTCTTTTCTTCGTTTATCAATGAGCAATAAAGCAGAAACAAGTTTCGAAACATATCAGAAGCTATATGGAAGCTAATGAACTATCAATCAAATATAATAATCAAATGTCATAACAATATGCACCATTTATTCCATAAGATGCTTAGACAAAACACAAAAGGAGTTGTGTAAAAAGCTTATACACTCAAGTATCATCTTCAAAACAAAAATACAATAACAAACGTTGCAAGACAGACACTCAGCTATTACCATATATATACATACACAACTTGAAACAAGTAAGTGAGTTTGATCATACCTGGAAATAAAACCAAATGTGATCCTTACCAGCAAAGAAATATCAGAACGCAAATTCCAACAAAAATTAAGAGATTCTTCAGCATTGTATCGCTTTGATTCGCTCCGCGAGCCATAGGACGCTCTTGTCCATGAGTAGGAACTCCACGGAAACCATTATGGTACCCACCGTAAGGATACCCCGGTGCTGAACCATAAAGCGTTGCATCGGGAAATCCATGGAACTGAAAGTTAAACAAAGAAGGCAACAAACCCCCAAACCCCATACTGAAATTCCCAATCCTAGTAGTCGCCATCGGCATAAACCCGCCCATCAAACCAATACCGTAGTTGAAAAAATTACTTGCCGCTTCAGGCTGAGGAGGAGGAGCAGCAGTCTCGGGTCTTTGACCCGATGGTCGGTTAGGAATCCGCATACCCGGGTAATGTTTTGATCTCGGGTCAGTCTGGTTCTTTCCTCTACCATAAAGAGGAACCAGCTTATCATCTTGCACCACAGCTTTACATACAGGGCATTCTTGAGAATGCGAGTGGTGGTGAAGCCAACGGTATAAGCAAGGCCAGCAAAAGAGATGGCCACAAAGAGTGACGATCGGATCTTGAGCTAACTCAAAACAAATGTTACATTCAAAATCTCCTTGATCATTTGCGCCATTGTTATTATCAGAGTAGGACGTGCTAGTGAATTCTCCATTCACCATCTCAATTTCCCTATAATCAAACCAAAAATATGAACTTGAATCAAAAACATTAAAATCATTCGACGCTCTAAACTAAATCAAACAAAATATGAACTTAGACAAGAAACCCTAAAGTTTAATTCAATCAAAAGCTCTAAAATCACAAGATTTGACAAACCCTAATACACACACAAACCAAAAACCCTAACATTAGAAACGAAGACGATAGATTCGAAATTGAACCGACAGAGACAAAATTGAATCATATCAGATCCATGGATCGAGAACTAGAATCAAATTGAAATACAAAACTTACCCTTTTCTCGTCAAAAAGAATCAAATCCGAAGGTTTAAATCAGCAGCACACAGGGACAAGATCCCTAAAAAGTAGAGATTTGCACGAAACTAAAGAAGAAACCAAACATCGTGGGGAAAAAAAAAACAAAACAGAGTCCTACTGTTTGGAAAAAAGAGTTCCAAGCTAATTTCTGACACTTTTGTTTTTCTCTTTCTCTTTTTTTTTCTTTGGTCGGCTACTCGGATATTTTGATTAATTATGGCCCAATTATACCGATTTCTAAACTTATTGGGCCTGATTCACTACAACCTACATCCACATGCTAATTGCTAAGTAAGTATCATTTTTAACCTAACAAAACAATCTGTCAAGTTTTTTTCTTCCCTATTTGAATAATAGTTAGTTCGTATAATTTTTTTTTTTTTTTTGGTAAAATTCGTATAGTTTTTTTCTCAAAACACTATAATTACATGGCACTCTAACGATGAGATTGAAACAGTTTTTTATTTTTTATTTTTCTTTCGAAGTTTCCACCAAAGTATCACATTGTTATATACAAGTTTTATTCTCAGCTACAACAGTTGACTAACCTCCACAATTAACTATTCTGATGTTTGCACGAATTAAAATATAGTATATTAGCATGATACTTTCTTCATTTCATATTTTTTGTTGTTTTAGATGATTTTATTAAGAAAATTTAAAATTAAATTTTCTGTTTTATATTTTTTTTTTTGTTTTACTCTTAATTGATTTACAATTTTGTTTGATATAATTGATTATTGTAATAAACTAAAAAGTTGGAACACAATTTCGAAGTTTGTTTTGTTAATTTGTATTGAAAAATATTAAACAAAACTTTAACTCTAAAACAACAAGTAAGAACTAATATTTAAGGCTAGTGAAGTGTTTCTACTACTTGCAACAGAGTGTACCAATACTTAAAGTTACAATCCCGTTTTTGTTTGACACTAAAGTCTGAAAATAACAAAATTAAATCTGAATTGCAGGATCCTACTGCCAAATGGAAAACCGAATGGGAGATCATTGTTAAGTCTCTTATATGGTTTTTGGTTTAAGTCTTACCGGAAAAACATAGTGAATGTTTTGTAGTTTGTAGAATTGATTTTAACAATTATTTTGGAAAATCTAAAATTAAATATGTGATTATTTAACATTTTTTACATACACAATACCAATTGAATCACAACTCTTTTCAATACAAGAATATATTATATATATATATATATATATAATAAAGTAGTGTAAATAATATCAAAACCGAAACGATCTTAGATGAATTGACAAAAGTGAGAGATTGAGATTATTTATCTCGTACAATATCAAAACACCATATTTCCTCAACTACATGAAAGAGCTTAGTCATATAAAGGTTGTCTTAGAGAATTATTATTGAATTTCTTTTCTTCAACCCTCTCTTAGATCTCAAAATCTATCTTCAATTAGTAAAACAAATTTATTGTAAATTTTACCACAAAGGAACGCACCAAAAATATGTAATTAATATCGACTACTTAATTGATAACTATATACTATAAACTATCAAATATAAAAAAGTACAATTAGAAAATAATTTACAAAAATAAAGACTCGCGGTATACCGCGGAGTCAAACCTAGTTCTTATACATATTAGAGAAATTGATACCAATAACCTTTTTATGATACCCTCTTTTAAAAATACCCTCTTTTTTTACTATTTTCATTTTTGCCCTCTCTTAATTTTTAATGGCTATTTTACCCCTATTTGAAAGAATATTCTTTCACAAAGGAAGGAATATTCCTTCCAAAATTTTCCCCCCCAAAAATTTCCCGCCAAAAAATTTCCCGCCAAAAATGTTTCCGAGAAAAAATTTTCCCGCCAAAAAATTTCTGCAAAAATTTTCCCGCAAAAAAAATTATTTTTTCAAAATTTTCCCGCCAAATTTTTTTAAAGGGTTTACAAGATTTTTTAAAGAGTTTTTTAAAGGGTTTACAAGGGTTTTTTAAAGGGATTTACAAGAGTTTTAAAATGGTTTTTAAAAGATTTGTAACGGTTTTTAAAGAGTTTTAGAAGCCTACAAAGGTTTTTAAATGGTTTTTAAATGATTTACAATGGTTTTTAAAAGTTTTTATAAACAATTTTAAAAGGATTTACAAGAATTTTTAAAGGATTTTAAAAATTTACAGGGATTTTTAAAGGTTTTTTAAGATGGTTTACAAGTGTTTTTAAAAGGATTTAAAAGTATATTTAAAGGCATACACAGATTTAAAAATAGTTTTAAAGGATTTACAAGAAGTTTTAAAGGGTTTTAGAAGTTTACAAATGTTTTTGAAGGGTTTACAAAAGTTTTTAAAGGTATTACAAGTTCTTTAAAATGGGTTTTAAGGATTTACAAGGGTTTTTAACGGGTTTTAGAAGTTTACAAAAGTTTTTATTAAATGATTTATCACGGTTATAAGTGGTTTAAAGGGATTTACAAGTGTTTATAAATGTTATAAAATGATTTACAATGGTTTTAAAAGGTTTACTCAAGTTTTGAAAGGTTTTGGATGACTTTTAAAAGATTTACAAGGGTTTTTAAGGGATTTTTTAAGGGATTTATAAATATTTACAAGGTTTTTTTAAGAAATTGCGGAAAAATTTTGGCGGGAAAATTTTTGTCGGAAATTTTTTGGCGGGAAATTTTTTTGTCGGAATTTTTTGGCGGGAAAATTTGGCGGGAAATTTTCCCGAAGGAATATTCTTTTTGTTGGAAGAATATTCCTTTTTTCATCATGGGTTATAATAAAGGAGGGTAATTTAGTCATTTGTACATTGAATAGGGTATTTTTGAAAATGAACACTTAGAGAGGGTACTTGTAGAAAAGGGTATCATAATAAAGGTTAGTTGTGCAAATCTCCCTACATATTATTAGCAAAGTATATAACATATTATTGTGGTTGAAATACGTTATTATTCCTAGATTTGAGTTGAAAAACAAATAAATTTGCTACCAAGATATTCTACACCAAAATTGTATAACGTATAAATTTTTGCATGTATTCACACCAAAAACCTACGGACTTTAGACATTATATTAAGGGGGAAATTCAAAAATACCCTTTTTCCAATACCACTTTTTAAAAATACCCATCTTTCTTATTTTATCAAAAAGTCACAATAAAATTTGAAATTTATCAAAAAAATATGTATAAACTTATATTTATAGACACAAATTATATTCACATGTGTGTAAATTTATATATATATTTCATAAGTACCGTATAAATATCTTTTAAAAATCATATAAAAAACTTATAAAAACTGTGTAAACCTTTTAAAACCCTTATAAAAACCATATAAATACCGTTTAGAACGTTTTAAAACATTCTAAATATTTGGATTTAGTTTCCCAGTAGTAATGATGATCTTGATGTACCTTATCAATCATATAGAAGTTTATAATTTTTCATATTTGAAAAGGGGTATTTTTGAAAATGAATAGAAAAGATGGGTATTTTTAAAAAGGGGTACACCAAAATGGGTATTTCTCAAAAATTCTCTTATATTAATCTTATGTAGTTATCTAAGTTAAACATAAATTTATGCAGTTATCTAAGTCATGAGATTAAAAAAATTAGATAAATGATTTTGAATTCGAGGAAGAAGGATCTTGGCTTAGATTATAAACCGATTAAACCAACATTTATGTCGGAAATAGGGTTAGAATTTTTTTTTCAAAAGTAGAAACAAAACATAATTTGTTTGTGTCGGTCTAATCTATATTGTACAATAGTTCTAAGATAGATATAGATCATCAGCCTCTATATAAACAACATAAGTTTTGTTGAATTTTTCCAACAAAAATAATTGAACCAAACATATTTCAATATTGTTAATTATTTGGATTCTGAAAACAAAAAGTCAATCCTTCAATTCTATAAATAAAAACCCTTTTCAAATTAGTTCGTTTTGAGATATGATGTGGCAACTGGCAAGTATCGTCCCATTACCGTGGAGAATCACGATACCGGATTTTATTCGATTTATAACATGACAACAAACATTATTACAAACATTTATCATATCGAAATTATTTTTGGTTTTTTTTTTTTTTTAATATATGAGATAAGATTTTGCAAAATAAGAATTTCTGTATTATATTACATTTTCAAACAATTATTTACAAGATGTTAAAATATAAATCGATCATACAAACTTGAAAACAAAAACTTAACTCTTCCCTGATATTACATAAGCCGCTATAATAAGAACAAACATTTTGTCTTTATCCTTTAGAAATCTGAAAATTTGAGAATACTACCAATTTTTTTTTTTTTTTTTGGTAGACTTCACTAGTTAGGAAAAATCAGACACCATATGTGTGACAACAACATTGAATCTAAGCATTTTTTTGTTTTGTTTTCCCCTAATCAAAATTTTCAACTCTTGATAGCTCCAAGAATGTTGGAAACATGAGCTGAAGGCTTTGAAGAGCATAAGAGCTTCTTCAGTTCATCATACCTCTCCAGATCAAACTCATAATCATTCATCAATTTTCTCTGTTTCGCCTCGAACCTGCTTTGGTAAAATCCTTCAAAAGAAGGCTCTTTCGATGTCCTGAGGAAAAACGCGTAACCAGCCATAAAGTATATGGACGTGACATAGAAACATATCGGCTCCATCACGTCCCATGAGAGTTCCCAAAATGTTAGCCTCATGAACCCTGCGGTCTGTAGTATCAAGTAACCAAGACCAGCCCAGAGCTCTTTCCGCACCAAAGAGTGCGCTTTCACATCAAGCACTGCCTTTTCAGCTTCGAGCTCTTTCAACTCAATCCTCCGTGGGTCATTTGGGTTACGGATCTTTGGCAAAGGAAGCAGTCCTTCGATGGATTTTGTAACCTGATCAGACACAAGGGCAAAAGACAAAAACAGAAAATGTCTGGGTAAAACAAGACCTCCACCACCTTCTTTTGAGACACACAATTAGCACTCAAAAACACACACAACAACAAACACATCTTCATGAATCAAATGACTACTGGTTTATAAAGTCAATCAATCCATCCCCATATCACTACTGTTTCTGCTTAAGATCTTATCACCATTGACTAATCTCTCCACTTAAACCCAACCTTTTGATCATCATCATCATCTCTATCAAAAACCACACTTTTGATTATATCCTAATAACCCACCAAGACCATGTTAGTAGAACAATCTAAACATCTCTCAACTCTCTCTTTGTAATTTAGGTTTCTTTGGTATCAAATCACCAAAAGGGGATCTTGACTCAATTTATAACCCTAATCAAACCAATGGTTTTTGTTTTTAGGGGTAAAATAAAAAAGTTGTGGTCTCTGTAGAAACTGTTCCTCTTTATCACCATCTCTCAAACTTGGGAACCTCCTATGGAACTCTGGTAAAAATACACAGAGGTTTCTGATTCTCCTGTTGAAATTGGAAGCCAAAGAAAGAGATACAAACCGAATAAAAATGGTATCAGTTCTCGGTAGCTTCCAAATATCAAAAATCAAAAACGCAAAAACTGGGAACCTAATTCGTTTACTTCAGAGAGTTTTAATCTCTCTCTTATCTTATCTCTCCCAAATCAATCAATCAGCTGCAAAGATCAAAGATGGATTTACAAATGCAAATATTCAAAAGAGCCTAAGAGAAAGAACGAAGAAAGTACCTGATCAGGCCTTAGACAAACGGAATCTCCCAAAACGATGACGTTTGCTGAATCATCAAGCATCTTGGCGATTCTAGATCCTAGATCTGGATCTGAAGAAGCTTCACCACAAACGGTAACAAACTCCGAATACGGCATCCAGCTTCTCCCCGTTTCTCTAAGCTTCGATTTCACAACCTCAATCTGCGCCGCTCTAAGCAGCTTCTTCGTATCCTCCACCGTCAATCCCGTCGTCGTCTCCGTCTCCTCCTTAACCGGAGGAGCGAGTCCGTCTAATCGAATCCGATCCTTACTCCCGTCGATTTCACGGATCTTTTCAATTAAACTCTCACCGACCGGCATCTGCATAATCTCCGGCCGAATCATAGCCGTGTTATGCAAAAACCGCCGCGGATTCCCCAAATCCCCAGGCTCCGGTGCGATTCTCGCCGTATCACTTGATTCATTCGGGACTCTGGTTCGTACGGCCAAAGCAGAAGACGAGATACGGCAATTCATAAGACTCTGCGACGCGACATTCGTCATGTTGAAGAGCTTCTTCGATAAAAGCTTCCTCATCGCCATTGTTGTAAAAGCTCTCCCAAGAAACTTTGAGAGAGAGAGACAAATTAAAAATAAATTAAAAATAAAAAATAAATCGTTTTTAATTATGACTGAATAATGAAACAATAGAGACTAAAAAGGGTTTATATACTGTTACAAAAATTTAAAACCTAAAAATAAATAATAAAAAAAAGAGACTCGTACACGTCAGCGTATATCGCAACGTACACGAGAAATTAAATATTACAGTAACGAATATTCGTTTTTTAGAGACTCTTTTTCTCGCGAGAAAATGTGGGGATTAATGATAACCGTACACGTGTTTGGGTTGGTAGTGGTGATAGCTTTGCGGTGCTGTTATAGCCGTTAGATGATAGCAATTTTCCAAAAAAAGTTGATTTATTATTTATTTTTACCTAAATTAGTTTTTCAGAACGGCAGAAGAAAGAAGAAGTAGGAAACGAAAAGACTATTACGTACACGCAAGCAGACGTGGATCCACATATTTTTCCTTTTTTTAATTATTTGTTTTCTTTTAACTTTTTAACTAATTTACTTAAATTAATTTGATAATTATTACTACACGATTTTATTTTTAATTACTAATTAGTGTCATTTTGAAAATAAATTTTTGTTAAAACCTCAAATTTAATTTTGTTTTTAAATTTTAAATTAAAATAAATTGTGTAATATTATAGTAATAATTTTGGAATAAACTTGGTCTTAGATTGTTTGTTTACTTATTTGTAAGTGCTTAAGAAAGCATTATTAACAAACGTTGACCATGCTTATTAGCATCTAAAAAACTAATGGAATAAGAATTTTAGATGCTTTATATATTTAGAATAAAAAATTATAAATATGATACAATAAATAAAAATTATAAATGTAAATATAAACAAAAGAATATTGCATTTGTAAATGAGGTAACAAAAGCATTGATGTAATCATATGAAACAATTTATGCGTGTTAATAACCATTTATGTGCAGTTAAAAAAATTTACAAATTTAAACTTGTATACATGTACATAGTTAGAAAATAGATAAACTTTACTACTAGTTTATTTTAATCAAATAATAATCGATTAACTAATTTGCAAAACTGTTTAAAAATATTAAAATCGCTTAAAATCGCTTAAATCTATTTAAAGTTTAGAGTTTAGAGTTTGACGATAATTTGATTTTGACGATAATTTAGAGTTTAGAAGGTCATCTATACATCGCTTAAGTTTGAATGTGGTGTTTAGGCGAACCAATTACACCACTTTTTAGAACACTATTGAACTTTTAATTTATAATTTTGTTTGGTAACTTACTTCATTTACCAACAATAACCAGCTCGAGAAACACATAAGTGAATAATCTTCATACCTTCTTATATGTTTGTTAATAATATTGTACATTTCTCAAAAACCATTCTGATTTCAACATATTGTTTTGAATACGAGTTCTAAATAGAATTCGCAACACATATATTATGTAAGCTTATATGGTTTTCATTTTTCAATGTATGAGAAACGTATAGTATAGAACAACAACAAGAATACCAACAAACTTGGCACATACACAACGCATTCTTGAAATGTAAGTGGAATAAAGAATCATCGTTTCGACGGTGGAGAAACAAATATCGTATAGAAATGACTTAGCAAGTGGAACAAATAGATAAGCCTTCACGTGTTCTTAGATTCACATCTAGACAAAAAACAATTGTAAACCATCAAAATTTTTGAATAAGTGTGTTAACTTTTTCGTTGTTGTTTTTGCAAAATATTTACCATTTATTTCATTTACGATTTTGTCACCATATTAGTATATAAAAGATACGTTAACGTGTTTATGTAAAAGAAAACGTAAGTAAAATGATGGCTATCTATTTGTAGTTTATACTTTTCGTATATGTTCCTCTCAAGCTTTATAAGAAGTCTCCCAAAACTTTGGGAGCTACAAATAATAACGATTTGGTAAACTTATTATAGAGTATATTAGCAAGTCGTATAATGACAAGTGCATTGTATTTACAACCACATGTTACAAACTTATTGGAAGGTGGCAAGCAATGTCCACAAATTTGACAAAAATAGTTTGGCCAAAAAAAAACAATTTTTTCTAAATTTATACCATTGGTAAAGGGTTTGTAAAAAAGATTGATGGACTTAATTAGGTAGATGTGGTCAATTATTGTGTAACTAATTATAATTATATTATCAACTTTGACTTGAGGGCTAATGGTGATGATGCCAGCAAGTTGCAGTTGCCACTTATATAATTAAGACCCAATCAATGATGATGAAATGATATAAATCCATCTCTTAAGTATTATTGTATTATGCAAGAGGTAAACTAAGTTATGGGTTAACTGACTAAATCATCTAAGAAATTTAAAATAATTATATGTAGTTGAAGCTGTCAGATTTTAGAAAATAGACCATTTTTATAAGTGATTTTTGTTAAAATAAAAAAAAATCTTCTGTTATTCTCATTCATGAATTTAAAAATCATAATAAAATCTAAAATCTAATCTTATTTATATAATGACTCAAAACCCTACTTTAAAATCCCATGTTATTGAAAACATTTTGAATAGTAGACTTTTAATGATTTTTGAGGGACGGAGGAGAATTTTACAATATGATAAATCATAATAACTTTTCTAAAATCATCAAAATCATCAAAATCATATAAGAACTCACTAAAACTAAAATCACCTAAACTATAGACACCATACCATATTTTGGATATTTTTCCTAATAAAAATAGAATAATTTTAGTAGTAATTTTAGACTATTTTCATATTTATTCTTTAAATATTTGAGTTAAATATTTGAGTAAGTAGTCTAGTTTTCTATATTGTAAGTTTATAACTTATAACTAAGTTGTAAGTCTTGGTCACAATTAAATTATTTTATTATCTAATCGTGATTAGTAGAAGGATATAATTCCATAAAAATAATAATTATTTATGTTTTGTGACTAGATGATATAACCATGACTAGATGATACTTCTTCAGTTTTGGTTTAGTTGTCATTTTATGACTTATTTTGTTTCACAATATATAGTTGTAATTTTAAATCTTAACACAGGTATTTAGTAAAAAAAATTCAATTTCATTTTCACTGTTGAATGTTTTGACCAATATAAAATTAGAAAAATGTATTGAAAAATGAGAAAAGAGAACTTTTAGTAATTTTTTAACTTTATGTACGAAAACATTAAACGATAAATAATTTGAAATGTAGGAATTTTCAAAATCTAATAAAACAAGTGGACTTAAGAACTATCGTCACCATAAGCTTGGACGTGTGTGGGGAGTAGTATATCGCGACAAATCAATAACGTTCGTCCGTTACTCCATTTTACTAGTTGCATGCTATTTTAGTATAATTTGATTACAAACCAAAATGTAAATTACTAACTTGTAAAAAATGTAAACATGGTTATAACTTACAACAAGATACTGGATAATAAAGTTTCAGAAAAGCATATTCTTATGAGATGAAAAAAGATTATTTTTGTAAACATATAAAAGAGAATATTCTTTGGACTCTAGCATCAACACCATAAACAGTACCCGATCTGTTTTAAGATTGTTTAATAGTGGAAATAGTGTACACATCACAATGTACATAATGAACTTCTGTATATGGATAAGAAAAACAAATATTATGAAATCCAAAGATAACATATGAAATTAAGAAAAAAGGAACATCATCGAAAGCCTCACATTGCTTGTACCATCACCTTAAGACACGGGTAAGTACATTACTCCAAAATGGATGGATACAATTAATCATTTTAATTGTACACCATTACTTTGTTTAAACTTTATCAACAACGAATAAAAGAATGGGAACATGTTTAGGACATATTAGGTCACATACAATGACAACAAATGAATTATGGATCGTTAAAATCTAATGTACGAAGATATTCATGTCTATTGTACCAAGATTCATGTCGAACTTTTTGATATATTTGTTTAAGAAGTTTGGTGCTAAGACTTTTTACAACTCTAGTGGCGAAAGGGATGGGCTAGGCCAATGGGTTGGTGGCAGAATGATTGAGGTTTATGTAAGAAGCATGAAGATAATGGTGATAACTGTTAGGGTGTGGGCTTTGCCTTACCCATAAGCACATTCTCGTAAAGAAATAAAAGCCTAAATCCAAATATGAGGAAAGATCAACTCTACACCTAGCAGAGGTAAAAGCTGAATTACACATCAAATCTGTAACCGGCACTATTCCTTATAAATCCGAAATTCTTGGGAGAGAAGTACAACATCCGTCTCTCAAGATACTCACTCGCATTTCGACGTGCTCGGCAACTAGATTCGCTCGTCCGTCCGTTCACTTTTTGATGACGAGCGGATCGAGCTAGATAAGTTTCATATTTGGTTAGACATTACACGAAATCCGTTTTGTAATTAAACCTAGTAATTTGCCTAAGTCATGGCTCGTCATTGTCAATAAGAATTTCCTTACTGTCTCTTGAGATCCCACTAAATATTGAACATCAACAATAACGAATGGCGTATTTTTACAATCTAGACCATCGTTTTCTTGTTATCATTCATGCAAAGACTCTCGAAATTGAATAAGACCATCTTAATTAGAAAGAAAGCTTTATGATCAATTTAAGTGGTCTAAAAGATAATTAGAAAAACGTACCTACATTTTTCAACATACCGTATACCCAAAAGACAATTGAGTAAAAGTATACCAACATGGCAACATGTCCTTCAATGAACTATTAGTCTACTACAAAAGTATGTAATATGCTCTGAGATCGTATATAGATTACAAGGTTCATGTATCATGTTATGATTTCTGAATATCTTAAAACCAAATTATTCCAAAAAAACGGGAAAAATGCAAGTGCAGGACTTGAACCTAAGACATGGCGCTCAATGTGCATGTACATAACTAACAGACCTATCAAATCTTTTAATCATGTGGTTCTAACACTTATTTTATATATTGTGTTTGAAAGCGGGTCTGTTTAGCGGGTCAAAAAGATCCGCGTGTTTATCCGTTTTAGGATGTTTGGCAATAAATTTTAGACGTTTTATCATATAGTTTTTATTAAAAAAATTAATGTTTCTGTTTGGCAACATGTGCAAATCGTTTTTCTTTTAATAGTATTGATTATGTACATTTTTAAATATATCTTTTAATAAACATAATAAAAATGTGGTTACACTTAAAAATAAGAGAACACACTACTTTAGCATGTTTACATAAACCCAATACACACACACACAAATAAAACAAAAAATAATCACTTATTTCTGTTAGCAATAAAAGTAGTAAGAGATACTAAAGGAGCCACCTTATCCGAACTAAACCCTTGAAGATGTTGCCGTGCATCTCTAGTCAATCTCTTAACAAATTCTTTCGACTTCTCCAACCCCATTAACTTCGGATACGTTAGCTTTCCGAGCAGCTGATCTTTTCCGGCGGTTTTCCCCAATTCCTCCGACGACTTAGTCTCGTCCAAAATATCATCCACAACTTGAAACAACAACCCAATGCACCGTGCAAACTTCCTCACACTCTCAATCTCTTCATCAGATCCACCACCAATAATGGCTCCAAGAACCGCGGCAGTTTCGAGCAAAACCGCGGTTTTATGGACATGTATAAACTCCAAATGCTCTAACCCGACATCGTTTAAGTCCAAACCTTCACTGCTTATATCCATCGCTTGTCCCGCGACTAACCCTTTCGTGCCAATAGACCTAGCCAATTCTCTAACCGCCCAAACCATTCTCTCCGGTGATATCTCAGCTGTAGTCATGTGTTCAAATGCAAGAGACAAGAGAGCACCACCGGAGAGAATAGCCACTCCTTCACCATAGACTTTATGCGTCGTGGGCTTCCCACGGCGCAAATCGTCATTATCCATACATGGTAAGTCGTCTTTGATAAGAGACATAGTGTGGATCATCTCAACCGCACAAGCAGCTGGCATTGCGGCATTTTCTTTGCCGCCTACTAGCTCGCAAGAAGCGAGACATAGTATAGGCCTAACGCGTTTTCCAGCCGCGAGAATCGCATAACGCATTGCCTCGTGGATCTTGAGTGGCTCCCCAACTGGAATGGCTTCCTCTAGAGCTTTGTTAATTAACTCGGCTTTGCTCATCATGTAAGGATCAAATTCAAACGTCAAGTTGGAATCTGAATCATCATTGATATCTTTGTCTTCTTCTCCGTCTTCTTTTACAACGGGAGAATCAAGAAACTCGGCTACTTCTTTCCGGGATAAAAACGCGGCCGTGACACGAGTTTCCAAAGAAGGTTGGAGGAGACGGGCTAGCCTCGGTTTAAGATTCGTGAAGAAGAAGTTTATTGAGAGAATGAGAAGTGAGAGATAGAGAAAAATAATTTGAGGTTCCATTTCATCAAATCAAACCAAACACTTCTTTCTCGAGTTTATTGTCCCGTTCGTCTAATATATAGGAAGAGATTATATATGTCAACAAAACTATGATAACGTGGCCAATGTTCATTATGTATTACCAAAAAAAACTTAACGGCTTTTCGTGAGATCTTGGTAATCTTGGTTTGGTTTACTTATATATTCCGTAAAATCGGTTTAAATCTCAGCAAAAAAATTGGTTTTTGATCCGGTTAGTGTGACTCAAGAGATTCATGATGGGTCAAAAGGGTTAATATGATGAACTAGGGTTTTGTTTTCATTGGATTCTCAAAAAGGGTTACATGAAAAACCGGTTTGAACCGGAAATTATATGACATTTTTTGATGAACCGAACCGGACTTGACAGTGATGTTGATATCTTTCCCGTAACTAGAGAAGGAGGACGTATCATCTTCATGTCCTAAGTTACGTAAAAGAAAGCAGAACCCAAAAAACATGGACCTCGTGAGAGACAACTTCATCTTCTATGTGTACGTTTCCTTTATATTCTTTTAAGCATTAATCTTCATTTACACGCATTATTTACTTCAAATTAATACATACAACTTTACGTATTCTTCATTTTTCTATTACGTTTTATTAATATGGATTCGATTCTTTATTGTCCAAACTTAGGAGTCCCCCAGTTCAAGCATAACGATATTCACTTACTTATAAAACATATCTGTTATGTCTTGTGCAATAAAGTTTGGCCAAAAATTCCATAAAACAAAAACTATTTGATGAACTTTTGAAGTAGTTTTCACAATGTTGTTTAAGGTATGGAATTTGCAACACTAGCACCTCGAGGGGAGAGAATGAGAAGTTCATATCACAACTTTTTACGAATCCAAAAGATTACCTTACACAAAGAAAAAATTGAAACTATTATATACTAAAATATTGATTTAGATACATTTGTATACGACATTGTATAGATCTTTTTGTAGAACTAATTATTGTTATAGGCAATATAAAATTAAAACATGCGAAACGATGTCGTATAAATACTAATCTATTCGACGTCGTTTGGCATGTTGTTTTCTAGGTTAACTTGTTTGGCTCTATAAAAGGATCATACTCACAGTTTTTTATGTGTTCATCATATCCGCCGTATTTGTTTTTACAAAACACAATAAAAATTTATCTGATGAAAATGTGGGATTTCTCGGCTACATCAGTAAAGAAATCCCAAACAGATGTTGCCAAGTAAGAGAAGAAAGTAGCCTCCAAGAGGAACAAAACAAAATCCAGTGACAAACTGAAAGAGGAGTTCTTAAAGAATTTGGCTTTGTTCCTGGCTGGATTTTGTTTTGTTTCTCTTGGAAACTACTTTCAATTCTTATTGTACTAAAGAAGCTGCAACTGTATGTCAGCTTTTCGAAACTGCAAAGAATTTGTGATTCAGGTGATCTTCAAATTTCTAGCTTCTTCGATGTCTACTACAACAGGTAAAGACACAAAATCATTATATCATAACTTTGGATTGCCACAAAGATACGAGAGAGAAGGAGCCAAGGCATCACTCAAGGTGTTTGCCTAAAAAAACAATTAATATAGAAGTACCAATAGGATCATGATACAAACAAATAGGAAAAAAAAAACAAATAAAACGAAAGATAAAAGATGCAACGATAAATCATGATCGTCGCATATGTGTTTCAATTTTCTTGGCAAAGTGGCACACTCCATGCCTAAAGCGAAATCGCAAACAAGACAGCTTAATACATACTCTGAATCTTTACTACAAGCTCCACAAGTCTTATGCTCTTTCGTAGTGCGGTATAGTGGATGGGGATGCAGTTCATGGTCAAAAGGCTCAGCAATAGTACTGCACCTCACATCTAAATAAAAAGGATAAAGTACTCTTACAATGTGGTACCTGAAGCCATTCGAAGATTTGAAGACAACATCTACACCTTTGATCATCTTGATATCTCTTATCACTTTCCAGGCCAAGCTTCAATCTTTTCATTATCATACTTATCTTCAAGTTCTTCTTCACCCCACACATCGTTCCTTGTTGCACACTTTGAATGAACATCATAACTAGGACAAACTCGGCATTCCCAATCGCCGTGATCAAGCTAATAACTGCGAGAAATTCGATGGTCATGAAGATTGACCTCTATGACTCTCTGGGCAATTCGACACAATCTTTGTGCAGAATGAAATTACATTCAAGAAAAACGTAAGGATTACGGTCACCAAACCAGCCCACATGCATTACAAGTGAAAGAGACCATTGCTGCCAGGAGGGTGAATGGATGGTTGTGGCTCTTTGGCTCATAGATAGTAAGCGGTGGCGGATTTTTCCAACACAACCAATCTATGCTGAAATTACATATGGAACAATGATAAGTCGGACCATCGAGTTTGTCTCGACAAAAATGGATCTTGAAATAGAATAAAAAAACATAGAGTATGTGCCTGTCTATGCAAAATATGAGGTATTAGAGGTTTTTGTTTGACATGTTTTCAAAATAAGAAGAAAATGTAACCACCGTTGATATCACACCTCTGGAAAAAACATGCCATCAAATTAATCCAAAAACCCAAAACTCGATAGTTAAAATGTCATTAATCAAAACATAACATGAAAAAAAATGATGAGACTAACATCTTAGCATATAAACATAAGCAACGATGCCAACATAGTTCAGTCATCCGTGCAGCTTTCTCTCGCTACCACAATACAAATCTGCACACAAAACATATTAAAAATTAAAAATAAGAAACATTATCATAACGGGCCAAAATATAATAATCTAAATAATAGGCCTATTAGATATAAACTCAAATCTACAAATACACATATTATATATATATTTTTATATTGATATATATACATATACGAAGCGAAGAGGATATTCGGCATTAAAAAATAATATTTGTTATTTGCTTTAGTGTTTATGAATACTACATTTTCATATTTGCTTCGCTTCAACATTTTATAGATATTTGAATTTTTCGAATCGAATCGAAATGAATATCGAAGGGAAGCGAATCTAACGATGTCGTATAGATCTTTTTCTAGAACTACTTATTCTAGGCAATTAAAACATGCGAAACGACGTAGTATAGATACTAATCTATTCGACGTCGTTTAGCATATTTCAATCTTTATGTTTCCTAGGTTAACTTGTTTGGCTCTATAAAAGGATCATACTCGCAGTTTTTTTAGGTGTTCATCATATCCGCCGTATTTGTTTTTACAAAACACAATAAAATTATTCTGATGAAAATTTGGGATTTCTCGGCCACATCAGTGAAGAAATCCCAAACAGATGTTGCCAAGGAAGATAAGAAAGTAGTTTCCAAGAGTAACAAAGCAAAATCCGTGACAAACTGAAAGAGGAGTTCTTAAAGAATTTGGCTTTGTTCCTGGCTGGATTTTGTTTGTTACTGATGGAAATTACTTTCAATTCTTATTGTACTAAAGAAGCTGCAATTGTATGTCAGCTTTTCGAAACTGCAAAGAATTTGTGATTCAGGTGATCTTTAAAGACGTTTGAGGAGATGCATCTGCCAAAGGAGATGACAACAATGTTCAAGATTCGTGATCCGAAAAGGGAACAAGTCATGGTCACTAGTACACATTGCAGGATGGATCCATCTGAGATGTTTGCACGTTCAAGCTCATCAAACCGACCTAGATGCTTCTCAGTCTCCAAAAAAGGGACTACATGATTATGCTCTTGAGGTGATCTCAGATGATGTATTTGTGATGATCTCAGATGATGTATGTGATATGATCTCAGTTTGATAAATCTCTGAGAGTCTAGTTAAATGTGTCTGGATACCAATGTTAGTTCCGGATTGATTTTTGAATTCTAGATTTCTTCTTATCCAAAACACAAATCAATATAAATCCGATAAGACATCAGATCAGTCCCCACACATTGAGGCTCCTAGAGGCACATGAGTTAAGCCAAAAGACAGAACACACTAATAAATAAATATCATAAGAGTGAGCTGTACAAGCAATATATGTCTCAAAACACCAAGATAAAGATCACCAAACATAAAAGCAAACTCCCATAATGTAATATATAAAGATCATCAACGAATCTCTCTGTCCTAAAAACCGATAAAAAGGTTTTGTTCAAGGCTTATATCCGTAAGTACGGGTGTAACTGTCATCCCTCTTGTTGTTCCTGAAAGCACAGCAACCAACAGAGTAGACAATGATAAGGAAGACAAGGAAGATGATGTTGACGACCGCAACTTTCTTCCAAGCGCTCTTGACGTTGTCGAGTAGACCGGCTTTGCAAGATTCACAATCGAAGCAGAGCCTGTCTTTTGCGTTGTCCCAGAGTTGGCAGTCTTGTGGATTTGTGGGTGTTCCCGTTGTGATTGTGTTCTTGATCCAGTTCGTTGGGCTTACATAGTCGAAACCGCATGTATCTGAGGGTTTGCAACAGCCAGACTGTAAAACACAAAAACAAAGGTTTTGTTTAGTTCAAGTTATGGTCTTAAGAGTCACAGAAACATTCACAAAGATTTAGATTCAAACACTATCACACAAACGTGCTAAGAACAGAGCAGAACTTAGTTACAAAATTGCTTGCATCTTAAGTAAGAATAAAGAATCAAGAACTAAAACATATGTCTATGGTTCAGATTCACAAATCAAGATTCTCACTTTTAAAAAGATTGAAACTTTGAATCAAAAAGTAAAGCTTTTGGTGTTCAAAAAGACAAGATTTTTAACATATGTGTAAGAATCACAAAAAAAAAAGAGAACTTTAAGGATCAAAAAGCTCAATCACTTTCTAAGTCTCCTCTAATCACAAATCACTAAAAACCCTAAAGAAAAAGACACAATCTTTAAAGAAAAAACCCAAATTCAAAGTCTTTACCTGAAGAGCAGTAAGATGCTCGCTGTAGAAGTCATTGACAGGAGCATTAATAAACTTAGCTTCAAGCTTAGTACAAACTTTGCTATCAACAAGACAACTCCTAATCTTATTCCAGTTTTTGCCATTGTTAACACGTTTCTGCAACCAATCAGAGTAATCACCAAGTTTATACTCTTTATAACCTTTCCCAGCAATAGCTTCACCAGCTCCTTTGTTTGTAACAACAAAGGCGAAAACTGTTATACAGAACACAAGTAGAATCAAGAGGAACATGACAAAGAGATAAACCCAAAGAAGCCATGTGACTCTACAACATGAACCAACCAAACCAGCTATAGCTACGACCATGAGAAAAACACCAAGAGCAATCACTGGTTTGTCTAGGAATCTTTCACACTCTGTTGACCCTTTTTGGCTTAGCCAGATTCCTCCAGCTAAGATCGGGATCGAGAGGAGGAAGACGATGAAATTGAGTATACCAACAAGGTTGTTGCTACAACGAGCCATGGTGATTGGTTTTGGAACAAACCCTTTGAAAAAGATTGAGACTTTGGGGGAAAGCTTAAGAGTTAAAGAAGATCGAAACAGAGTATGGATTGAGAGAAAGATTGAGAATTTGAGGAACCCAGAAACAGATATTGAGTTTGGTTTCCTGGGAGATAAGTTTATATATAGAGAGAAGATTGAAACGCGTAGAGAGGCGTCTCTTGCAGAGAAGTTTCTTGGTTTCTCTCAATGTCTTTAAGGAAAGAGTAGTTGAAGACTTGAAGACTTGGTTGTATTGGAACAAGGACTCTTTTATTTCCACGCGCTTTATTGCGGCTGGTCGAGTTGTTTTTGTGATAATGACTTATAATTGCAATAGTTATTTATATTTTTCTACTATATATCATTATTTAATATTTGATCTTATCTTATTTATTGCAAAAACACTTTTTATTTATTAATAGTATCAATTATATAAAAAGTTTTTATAAATATATAAAGAGTTTTGATTAAAATTGATTGATAGAAAATAACTATATATCACCAAATTTATAGTTTAGACATAATTGATGAAAATATATATATTTTTTGCTTTAAAAAGAAAAAATAAATTTCCTCCAATAGCAAAATTTAAGTTTTTTTTTCTAAAAATACCAAATCTTTTTTTTTTCTAAAAATACTAGAAAATTTATGTTTTTCCAAAATTACTATAAACATAAGAAATTGATTTTTTTGTGTTTAATTATATTTAGAGTATAGTTTTTAGGACTATGATTTAGTGTTTTATGATTTAGAAATTAATTTTGAATGTTAAAAATATAGATTAAGTTTTGTGGTATTACAGAAAAATGTATTTTAGTGGTATTTTTAGAAACTAAAATACCTATTTTAGTGCTATTTATGACAATTTTCTAAAAGAAAAAGAAATATAATTATATGTACAAAAATATATATGATTTTCTTTCTTTTCTAATTGGTATGAAATCATACGTCAAACATAATATAAATGAATTAGAAGTTTGAAAGATCAAATGAGCTTTCACTTTCATATGATTATTAATATTGCTACTATGTCAAAAATAAATATTGAGTATCATTTTTCCAATTTGTTTTTACTTGCGTGAGAAAGATGGAAAGGTTTGCAAAAGTCCAATTTGTTAATTGTTTACTCGTTTATTTGGGTCAACGTTTATATTATGTTGTCACTAGGAAAAAATTGCAATTTGTTTTTATGCTTTTGGTCTTGGAGGCTGCGTTGCTACCTAACCTACTAATAGAGAAATTTAATATGTGGGAAGGGTTAGTATTCAAAATTTTATGAACTCTTCATTTAAAAAGACATTCAAAATATATTGTCTGAATCCGAATGATTAATGTTGTTTTATCAAAACAACATTGTAGTTTAATTAGATTACAATTATGAGTTAATTCAAAATTTATTTTATTAATCAAGTAATTCAATAATATCTAAACCACAAATAATAATAAAATGGTTGATGCCCCTCCCCCCCCACCCCCACATTTAAAAAAAAAAACTGTGATTTTAGTTAGATAACTTATATTCAGTATTAGTTGGATAATAACAATGTCAACTATATAATCCTAGTTAAAGTGGGAGTATGTATCTAATAAAACTACTTAAATCTTATCAAAGTGATCTATATTTATAAATATTTTTTTGTTTATTACCAAATTATAGACTACACATATTAAGTACTTCTTAATAACTCCGATAACAATATTAATGCTATAGGTTTTATTTGTTTTTTTTTTTTGTTAGAAGAGGGGAGACATCGTCTTCTGCAATTTTTTGGTTTTTTTTTTAATTACAAACGCACATTCCGTGGTCAAATAGACCCATTAGCATTCTCCACCACGAATAGCATAATGGTCTGGTGCAACATCAAACACACCAAAGTCCTACGATAAAGAAAACACATAGTTCGCTAATCCATCCACTAGACGATTAGCATATGAGTAATACGGATTATCTAAACATTTGATAAAAAGTCTTTGCACAACGTATTAGGAAAGACAGCAAATGAGAGCTATTTATCCATGTCGTAAGAAAACCAACAATTACCTCCGAATCCACTTCTAGTTCAACACGTGTAGTCCGACGTTCCCATGCTATTTGTTTTGTCGCTGCAAATATTTTTGTTCGCCACAGCAGCAAATACAACATTTTACGGTTATAAATTTTGAACATCGACTTAATTTAACGATAAAAAACGGCGTATTTATCTCAACTGCCTGCGGTGACCAAACGAACATTACATCATTTATATTTGATTTGGGAATCGATCCGAAGACATCATACTGATATCAACAAGTCAGTCCTTAATTAACATATGTCAACTACATAAAACGAAGGTTGCGTACGTACGCTTAAAATTTTGTATAAACAATACTCGTTTATTTATTTTTATTTTTTTATTTTTTTGATAACCCAGGTATCCCAACGCTCGCGTTTGAACTAGCCACGTGGGCGACCGAAAGGCACTCCACGTGTCGGCTCCTGAGATGCTGCAGCCCATATGTGAAATCCGCAGTGGCCGGGGCTCGAACTCGTGATGATGGGTACCTCAGCTGAGGGTCCTTTACCACCAGAGTTAGAGGCGCCGGTTTACTCAGTTTATTTTATAGGAAACGTACTTACATTTTTTTTTGTTCTGTTCTAAGTATAGATTAGTCTCCGATAAGACAGTTTAGTAAACCTCTATACGTACATGCTAATAGTTTAGTCCCCAATTAGGCAGTTTAGTAATCCAAAAATATTGGTCAATTTAAGCTACACATGCTTTCTTCTCTTTTCTATTATTATAAACTGTATACAAAAGATTTTAATCAAAACAATAGAACACGAGTTTGAACAATTATGAAACAGATGAATATACAGAATCAATGAAGCAAACTGACCAACAAATCGATTTTCCTTTTTAATGGATTAAAAGTTATAACAAGTAACAATCAAATTTGACCTAATATTTCTAATTTTTTTTTTCCGCTACACAAAGATTCCAAATTATAAAATGATAAATTTGATTTAAAAAAATATATAATTATGAATTCAGTTTCATAACATATTGTTTTAGAAATATAATTATAATATTTTCCCCATCCGAATTGATAGATTTATTAATTCTGTCACGAATTCTAAATAGTATTCTAGGTATGGATGTGAGGAGGAGACAAATGGATTATGTCTTGTTCATGTGCTCTTGATGACCACTTTTGAGGATTCTCTTGGCTTGAGAAAAATTTATGGTATCATCAATTTACTTTAAAAATATAGATAAGAGCCCCAATCGATCGACCCAACAATATAAATAAGAGCTTTTAATTAGGATTTTTTTGTATAATTAAAAAAACAATATAACATTATATTATTGCAAGGAAAAAGCATAACTTAGTTACATGGATAATTTATTCAATCCACACAGTTTTAGCTATAACGTAATAATACAAACCCAAGTCTTAGGAAAATAAAAACATTACATTCAGTTTCACACTTATGATGTTTGTTCCAATTCCAAACATAATTTTAAGATTTAGTTGCCAGATCCCGAGCCAGCCCTAGATCCAGCAAAAGAACCAGCAGACGAACCAGCCGAACCACCTGAACCACCAGAACTTGAACTCGATGACGAGCTTGAGCTAGACGATGAACTAGACCGCGAACCAGAACCAGAACCAGCTCCAGCACCAGCACCAGAGCCTGAGCCACCACCAATACCAATTCCCAACCCAACACCTAAACCTATCCCTAAGTCTTTCCTTGCAACCCGGCTCTCAGTTATCATAACCAAACTCGAAATAACCAATAAACTCATAAGAACAAGACCAAGGACCTTAGCCATTTTAGAATACTGTCTTTTTTAATCTCTAAGGAGTATATATCGTTGCTTTATATCTCTAAGGCTTGTTTTGGATATAGAAGAGTGGAACAATGTTAATGTATTTATAGAAGGTTTGAGCTAGAGTGAGTTTCTGAAGTGGATGCCACTAAGTTCATTAACGTTGGACCAACTAGCATCGATCATTGTCTTATATTATTGACTTGTACACTCAAAGCCACAAAGATAAACAAATTATTCATTGTATTTTTTCAGTTTTCAAAAACATAGTGATCTTCTTTATATTTATAATTTTATCTTAATGTAAAGGCTCTTAAAATGTTTGAGTGAACATCATAAACAGAAACCTTATTAAAATTTTATCCGTTAATCGATGTATTATGTATATATATAATCGATGTCTCTGGTTTCATGTAGTGGTATGTTAATATGATGTATAATAGATTATGTTAATATGATGTATATAGATTATATAATAGTGGTGACCATCAGTTTCATACTATTACGTATGCATGTGCAAAATTGCATTAGTGTAAATTGAATCGTTTTCTAGGATTTTATAATCGGCTACCCGCCCACTAATGATGGTTAGTGGAGCATTGGTAGTGGATCTTAATCGGTGAAATCAACCTCTCGTAAACAGACAAAGTTTTCAATAATAATTGGAAAAAATGCCATTAAAATCCTGGAGAGTATAATTTTATTGATTTAAATCATGTACTCTTTAACTATTCATTTAAATCACAATTTTTTGTTGATTTTTTCTTTATTCTGAAACTTTGGTTGACTTTGTCAATTTAGGCACATCGGTAAATGGTCAGACGGAGCAATTAAACAGAGTTAATTTCTTATTAACTACATCCGTCAAATAATGAAACTGTTTTAAACCTAATCCAAAACACTTAAACGAAACCGTTTTAAACCTAACCTTTGGAGAAAATCTGAATCGATTAAGTGTTTTGGGTTAAAACGGTTTCGTTTTGTATTTGACAGATGTCGTTAACGAGAATTAATCCCGTTTAATTGATCTGTCTGACCATTTAACAATGTGCCTAAATTGGCAAAGTCAACCAAAAAGATAACAAGAAAACTAGCAAACCAGCCAAGAATCCATAAGTAAAACCAGCCAAGGAAAAATAAGTAAAAGAAACGGAGAGAAAGAGAAGTTACCTTAATTCTTTCTAATCTATACTGGTCTATATGTCTTCTTATTTCTTTTTCTTTTTCTATGGTTTCTGTTTTATTTTTGTATGTACACATATTTTCTATTTTTTTTACATTTTTTTTTGTCAACTTTCAATTATTTTTTTTACATTTTTGACTTTTTCTATGGTTCATGATTGCTTATATTTTGCATTTGTTTTCCTTTCTTTCAATTGTTTCTATACAAAAATATATTGATTCTTTAGCATTTTCTTAACAAATTAACCAGAAGTAGTTAATTTAAACCAAAATTATCTATGTCATGATATATTGGTCATGCTATATTTAATAAAAATTCTACTTAATGGATTTAGTAAATTTTAATTCTATTATATATTTGTATTTTACATTTGTTTTGATTTGTTTATATACCAAAACACATTAATTCGTTAGTACTTTCTTAACAAATTAGTCTTAAGTAGTTAATGTAAACCAATATTATCTACGTCATGATATATTGAATAAAAATTACATTTAATGTATTTAGTAACTTTTTATTCTATTATATATTTATATTTTACATTTGTTTTGCTTTGTTTATATACCAAAACATATTAATCTTTAGTACTTTCTTAACAAATTAGTCTTAAGAATACATTCAACTAATATAGTCTCAACTTTTTATAGGAAAAAAGTCATATATTTTCATTATGTGACGGGTGGATTACAAGGTACCCTCACTCAAGACAATGTCAAGCTTGGAGACATAACACTTCAACGGCAAGATGTCATAGAGTCGACTAACCCTATTCGTTGTGATATATCTCCATATGGGCTCATGTATTATATTTACTTTTTCGAACGTCTAAATATTTCAAAATAACAAACAAATAACATAATAATAATAATAAGTAACCAAATTGATATATTTTTCGGTGTATTTTTTACTCATCATTGGTTTTTCTTTAAGTTCATTTCTATACAATATCTAGTACATATTGGTAGCATGCGACAATAATATAATGCAAATATATATGTAGTATCTAGGCCTGGGCATTTGGATATCGGATCGGGTTCGGTTCGGATTTTTCGGTTTTTGGATTTTTTGGATATTGATTCTAACATCCATTCGGATATTTATAAAATTCAGTTTGGTTTCGGTTAGGATAATTCGGATTTCGGTTCGGTTTGGATATAATCGTTATAATTAAATTTTAACCAAAATTTTTTCGGATTCGGTTTTATCCGAATATTTTTTAATCCAATTATACTCAAATAATCCATACTATCCAAGTATATTAAAAAAATAGAAATGAGTCAAATGACAAGTTTAAAAAACCAACTAACATAATACCATACCAATATATAAAAGTGAAGCATAAACTATGTCGATGCATACAAGCTTCAAATAAACCAAAGTAAACCATAAATTCCTAATAAAAAAGTAGCAAAATTCAGTAACATCCTAAATCAAATTGAAAATAATTTTTAAAAAACTTCAAGACCATGAGAGGAGGAAACTCAAGCGTCTACCCAGCTACAATCAAGACGGCAAACATATATATCTTAAAGATATTAGAGTATATATTGTATATATCCTAAAGATATTAAAGTATATATTATAAGTTCAGTTTATATGGATATCTATTGGATATCGGTTCGGATCGGATTTAATCCGATATCCAAAAATAATGAAAGCTAACAACCAATCGGTTATTTTCTCAATATCGGTTCGGTTTTAATCCAATTTTTTTGGTTCGGTTCGGTTCGGTTCGGATTTTATACCCAGGCCTAGTAGTATCTACAAAACTAACTCAACCAAAAAAAAGAAGCAATGTCATCAATTAACCCAATTAATGGACTACTAAGAATATCAAATAAAATAAATTGACTTAGAAAACTTGAATAATTAAATAACTTGAAAAAACATCAATTAAAAGGCACGTTGTAGTTCCTATTTATTATGGATCTTCATATCTTCAGATCCATTTATTATGTACGCCATTAAAAAAAGTAATACTATTCAATATCTAAACAATGCTTTAATTCAATAAGTTTTAGTACCTTTTTTTGTACAAGAAAATCCCATAGATATAATGTACTTTTCATTACTATATTAAGAAAATGTCATTCCACATTTATAATGTGACTTTTCAAACAAAAATATCCATTTTTTAATTCAGTTTTTAAATCATCATTAGCATATAAATTTCAGAATTTTTGAAACGGAACTTAGAATTTAAATCTTCTAGCATAATAAATCAAGCATATTTATTTTCTTTTTTCTTTTCCAGTATAATTCTCAATCCATGACCCACTACAGTATTGGGTCTTCAGGTCATAAAAGGCCCAATAAAAGTCTCCACATAATATATGCTCCACATAATATAAGGCCCATTTAAAATCTCCAGATCTTATAAGGCCCATTTAAAATATCGAGATGAAGCAAAAGACTATGAAAACAATTAAGGGAACGGATTCCCAAAAACGAAAAGAAAGATAAAGAAGAAAAATGAAGAATGTGATGAATCGAGTCTTCTTCTGCAAATCACTCTCTCTCGTCTTCCTTGTTCCTTCTTTCACTCGTTCCAGTCTCCGATTCACCTACTCCTCCTCCGCCGCCGCCGCAGCTTCTTCTCCTAACCGAGCCATTCACTGCATGGCTTCCGATTCCCCTCAACCCGGTGATGGTTCCGTCTCTCTTCCTCCTTCTTCCGCTTCTTCCGCCATTGATTTCCTCTCTCTCTGCACTCGCCTCAAGGTATGCTTTGAATGATCCGCCTTACGATTTCGATAAGATCCGGTGGATTCTGTGGTTATACAACGCAATGTCTGTCTTGTTGATGATGGATTGTATTGGAATCTGAATTCGTTATGGAATTGAAACGATTTCGAGCTCTATGTGGTTGCTTTGGTGACCTAAGTGCCCACAGGTTTTGTTTCTGTCCTGCTTCATAGATTACATTACCTTAGCTTTGAATGATCCACCTATGTTTTCCAAGATCCGGTGGTTTCTTTGGTTAAGCCATGTCTTCTCTTGCAATTCTCATTGATGGAATCTTTGAGAAGCTATGATTTGATATAGATGTTGGTTTGAAACTTCTAATGCAATGTTGTAGTGTTTGTAAGATGATGTGTTGTTTAGATTTATGTGGATGTTTTTTCTTAACAATGTTAAGATGGTTCTGTGGGGAGATAGCTTCAAACGTGTCATGCTTTATGGATTGAATTGGAATCGGTAGTGCATTGCGGAAATGAAACAATTTTAAGCCTTGGCTGCATCTGTTCATGTATTGTAGAATTCGTTTGGGAATTTGAACGACTTTAATCTTTGTGCCAACTTCTGTGATCTCTGATTACTTTAGTCCTTGTACATAAGAAGTTTGTCCTGTGTTTTTATGTGAATCTAGTGAATTATTGTTTGTTGCTTCATCTATCAGAATTTTTGTGTTGTATTGTTTGGTAAACTTTCTTCTGTATTATCAAATAGACAACTCCAAGAGCTGGATGGATTAAAAGAGACGTAAAAGATCCAGAATCTATAGCGGATCACATGTACCGGATGGGTCTTATGGCTTTAATTTCTTCAGATATCCCTGGTGTTAACAGAGACAAGTAAGTTTCATGCTTGTTTTTTATTAATTTCCAAGTTCAACTACTGGAATTTAAACTCATTCATATTTGCTTTCTAATTATAGATGCATGAAAATGGCAATTGTTCATGACATTGCAGAAGGTTAGTTCTTTCACTTGTGTAGAGAGTAAATCACCAGTCACAAGTTATTTAGGAAATCTCGTTTGAATTCGATAATTTTTGTTGAGCAGCCATTGTAGGAGACATTACACCTTCTTGTGGGATATCTAAAGAAGAGAAAAACCGAAGAGAAAGTGAAGCACTTGAACACATGTGCAAACTCTTGGGAGGAGGAGAAAGAGGTCAGTTCGCTTCTATTCTTAAAATACCTTAAACATCTTCGTTATATCTTCTTGTGCTCATTTTGCATAAAACACTTGTCACTTCTAAAATTGTATATGTTATGGTAATTTCAGCTAAAGAAATCGCTGAGCTTTGGAGAGAATACGAAGAGAACTCTTCACCTGAAGCCAAAGTTGTGAAAGATTTCGACAAGGTTGAGCTGATACTACAAGCTTTGGAATACGAACAAGGTTATAACCTCAACAAAAATTCTAATTCGAAGATAGATTCAGCAGAAGCTAAACTCGTATTGTATGTTTGTTTGTTTTACGCAGCGCAAGGGAAAGATCTAGAAGAGTTTTTCCAATCAACCGCAGGTATTGTCTATCGTACAGTTTATAATCCAAATTCACAATCTCTATAAGGTTGAAGGCTTTTTTATAAGCTTGTCTCTGTTTGATTCAGGTAAGTTCCAAACTGATATAGGCAAGGCTTGGGCGGCGGAGATTGTTTCAAGAAGACGAAAGCAACATTAGTTTCCACATGATACCTGTTCATTGGTTCTTAACGTTAGTTCTCATTGGAGTTAAAACACTCGTACGTTTCAAATATAATCTTCGTTGCTGTCTTAACGTTTCAATAGCTATCTTTAACTAGTGACTATTGTATATGTAGCTAGCTAATGAAGATCAAAATACTTAATCAAACTCGAAATTATTTTTATATTAAAAATAGTATTATTGGATATTCGTGTTATCATACTTATGATATTTTAAACTAGGTGTTTCTTTTTGAAAACAAATTAAAGTGTTCGATTTAGATCCATAACTGTAGTTTCTCAAAAAAAAATAAAAAAAAATGAAAGATTTAGATAAAACAACACCTTATATTGAACGAAGAGTTTTTCCAATCAACACCTTATATTGACTGATAAATTTTAAATGATATGAAGTAAACAAATAAATTTAAATGTTACTAGCTAATACGATTGATACAAAATGTTGATAGAGAGCGGAAGCGATAAAAAGGATAAATTTGGGAATACTCTTCCCCGTGCCCGAAAGCTTGTTAGATAAGTTGGGAATACTCTTCCCCGTGCCCGAAAGCTCGTTTATAAAGGAGAAACCTCTCAACTTTATTAATCAAAATCAATATCAATCATAAACTAAATTACAAACTTTCCTAAAAGTCTCTATTTATAATAAACCTTAAATATTTCAAATATCTCGCTGCATCAAATGTGGAGGCTTAAGATTGTGTGTTCAATGTTCATCATTTTATTTATTTACATTTACATTATCAGCTCTTAAATAGGTAGTTCATGAAATCATATATAAAAGTAAAGTTTCAGCTATTGGTTTTCTTTATTGAATTTCAATTGAACACACTATCTTATTATATAAACCTTGGTTTTCAAAGTCAGCCATTAACAAGATCGTGACACGTGTCAATTATAAACGATAAGATGTTGACACGTGGCATAAATAATTTTGTTAATATTTGGATAAAATAGAAATATTATTAACCCTATCAAAGAAGGAAATATATAAAATAAATATTATAAAGAATTATATATTAAAAATTATTAATAAAATTAAACAAATAATCTAATTTCAGTTATGTCAATTTGGTTTATTAATAAGATAGGGATTTAAAATTTATAATTAACAAGAATATATGGCGGTTTTTGTTTACATAAGAGGATTAAGGTTTAAACTTTAATTTTACAATTAAATCAGATTATTTGTTGGTTTGGGTATATAAATGATAAATAAGAATTATGGTTTATCTTTATAAATTAAAATTATGGTTTAAGTTTAACAATTAGAAGAGATTATATGTCAAAACTTGGTTTTTAAATTTACTAACTCACATGATCATGATAAGTGTCAAGTAAAAACATAAGATGTCGCAATATGTTATATCTAATTTTGTTAATATTAAGATACAAATAGAATTTTTAAACAACATTAAAAAAAATATATAAAAAATTAAAGAGAATTTTTGAGAAATACCCCTTTTGGTGTACCCCTTTTCAAAAATACCTCCTTTATCTATTCATTTTCAAAAATATTCATGTTTAAATATGAAAAATTATAAAGTTTTATGTGGTTTATAAGGTACTTCTATATAATAACTACTACTTGGAAATTTGATACAAATATTTTTTAATATTTTAAAAGGTTTTAAATCGTTTTTACAAGTTTTATAAGGTTTTTAAGTGGTTTTTAAAAGGGTTTATACGGTTTGTAAAAGGTATTTATAAGTTATTTTACGTTATTTATGAAAGATATATAAAAATTTAAACATATATAAAGGTAATTGTGTGTATATTTATAAGTTTTCACAAATATTTGGATAAATTTCAACATTTAAAGTGGTTTTTGTTATAAAGTTTGAAATAGGGGTATTTTTAAAAAGTGGTATGGAAAAAGGGTATTTTTGATAATTAAAAAGTAAAAAAATTGATATTTATAAAAAAATGTATAAGCTTATATATATATATATATAGACACAAATTATCTTTCTATGTGTGCAAATTTAAATACCATATAAATACCTTTTAAAAACGTTTTAAAATTATTTTAAAAACATATAAAAATTTTTTAAACCTTATAAAAGCCTTATAAAAGTCTTATAAATGCCGTTTAGAACCTTTTTAAAACTTTATAAATATTTGTATTGAGTCTCCCAATAGTAATGATGATCAATATGTACCTTAAAAACTATATAAAAGTTTACAATTTTTCATATTTGAAAAGAGATATTTTTAAAATAGATAGAAAATTGGTGTATTTTTAAAAAGGGGTACACCAAAATGGGTATTCCTCAAAAATTCTCTTTCAACTATT